AAACGCTAGGTAGTATAAGCGAAAATATTTAACTTCTAATCAAAATTGGCTGGACTATTTATTATTATAATAATAATTATAAATTAAATAGTATTATATATATTATTAAAGTTAATAGGAACGTTTAATATATATTTATTAATAGTATAATCATAGGTCGCAATTTAGGGGTTAATAATTAGGAACGAATGTTAATTAGAAAAAGAAAATAAAAAAAAAAGAAAATAGGACTTATAGGATGCTAAAATAAAATAAAATTTACTAGTAATAATTTTACGAAAGGCATTGAGGCTATCGGATCTTTAATTAGAATTCGGGATTATAGTAAAATTTAAAGTATAGTAGAAATAGAGGATTTTACAAACGGCGCTAGACGGGTTAATATAAGGTTAAAAATAATAAGAGAAATAAATATATTAGTTCAAAGGGATTTTAAAATTTATATTACTATAAAGTGCGCGGGAGAATACTATAGGTTCTAAGTAAATTAGAGCCGCGAACCTAGGGGAGGACGTAGAACCCGGAAACGGTTTGGAGGAAGAGACCTCCGGATTAGAAGTAAAATTAATTAGACTAGGACAATTATAACTAAAGGAAACTATTTTAGAAGATATTATAATAAGGAAGAAGGAAGGTAAATAAGAATTAAGAAGGGGCGCTATAGGAAAGATTATATAAATAGAGGAGAAGGCCTCTATATTATTATAAATAGAAGTAAAATTAAAGAATAGGAAATAAAGGGACGGGGTGGAAGTAAATATAAATAGGAGGGATAAAGCGGAGGAGTAGGGATTTAAATAGGAAGATAGGATAGAGAAGCGGAAGGAAAATAGAGGAAGAAGTAGTAAGGGCTATAATAGAAAGGCGGCGAGGGAAAATAGTATCCTTAATTATAGTCCTATTATTCTTATTATTCTAATATTAGAATAATATAGTAAAGAAAGAAACGAAATTAGTTCGTTGTAGCGGTGGGTGAGAATTGTTATAGTTATAAACAAAGTAGAAATAGTATAAGTAAACTACGACCGAAATAAAGCTAGAGGTTTTTATCCGGTAGTGTTTAATATTATATAGTTTTCCCCTCTAGAGAACTAGAGAAGGACCCTATACTAATAAGACGCTATAGTTATATAGAAAGGGCAAAAATATTATTATTATTATACCTTCCTAAACTAGCGATTTATAATAATTATTCGATTTGATATTATACTTCTACTAGAAATTTTAGTTGGGGGATAATTAAAAAAATCAATAATAAAGCGGAAATTAAGACCTTCTAGCGCATCGAGGACTTCTCTATATATTTAATACTTTATTTTAATTATTATACAAAAATAATAGTAAATAAGATTAGGGCCCTTTAAGTATACTTTATACTTTTTATCCGTTAGTTAGGCTAAGGTTTTTAGTCCCGGGTAATTAAAGCGAAGGTATCAGCGTAAAGTATTATCCTTTTAAAGTTTTTTAATAATCTTATTAGTAAATTAGTAAGATTATATATGAAAAGAGGACTAGTTAGTACGTATTTTAAAGGGTATATATTCTAATATAAATTAATTAAATTCTAAAGAGAGATAGTAAAGATAGTTATTATTTAAGTAGAAGCGAAGGTACCCTAAATTAAATAATTAATCCTAATACAATCCCTTTTCTAATAACCTTTTTAGAAATATTAAATTATATACTATTTTAAGTATAAATGCAATATCGTCAAATTTAAAACTAATAGGAGATCCTTTGTTATTACTCAATACTAAGTAAACCGAACTATATCCCTCGATTATAATAGACTCATCTCCTGCCTAAACGTAGTCTCCCTCTCTTGCGGGTTTAAAACCTTTAAACTAATTAGCCTTATTAAAAATATAGATTATTATATTTAAATTAAGAATCGCTAAATCCCTTAGTAAGTACTTTGGTCTATTTCTATAAGGTTTTAATACTAAAAAATTCGCTTCGTAGTATATATTACCGACCCGCCAGCTATTAAGTTAAAAGTTATTAATATTATTTTAGTAAGATTCGTTAATCATCTTTATAATATTATTTTTTAAAATCTTTCGAATCTTATTTATAAACTTAGAATTTCTTTAACAATTCTTATTAACTTACTTATACATATACTAATTTTCTCTAAAATCTTCCAATTAGCTCGTTGGGTTAATATACTAGTAATATTTAAATTTATAACCTATATATTTACAAATAGAGCAAACCCTCTTCAACCGTTTATTATAATTTTAATAATTTTAATAATTACTAGCCGGCCTTTTACTTTTATTATTCCGGGGGTTATTAAAGGCGTTCTTACTAAATTCGGTATATATATTTACCGTCCCGAACGTACTACTCTTATAAATTTGGGAGCGATTCTTATTTAATAAAAACATTTTAAGGACCGCCTACCTAAATTCCCGGGCTATATCTATAAAGTATAAAGTTTATTATTTTTAATTTAATAATATACTATAATTTAAATAATAAGTAAGGAACCGGGGAATTTACTTACTATATAGAGAAAATTTTAACGCTAACTCTCGGGGTTAATATATTTATTAACGTTATAATATTAATTAATAATTATAACCCCCTCCTATTCTTTAAATTAAATAATTTAACTCTTTAGAGTATAAGTAAGGCGGACCTTCTCCTAATATTTAGTACGGGCGTTATTTTAAACTCTAACTAAATTATAATTAATTAATATATAAAGTTTATTATATTAGACGGTAATAGTTTCGGTTTGTAGGAAATAAATTAAATAAAGCTTTTTAATAGTATATTTCTTTATCTAATTTTTAATATTATTAATATTAGTAATAGATTTATTTTAGCCCTTCTTTTTATAGCGGTAGTTAGTTAGAACCGCTTTATAATCGCAGAAGTTGGATTTAAATATAAAGCCTAAACGTTTAGCGGTAAAAGAGACCTTTACGGGGGGATTAGGGGGAGTTTAAATTAATATTAGGGTCCGGGCCGGGACTATAATCGACCGAGCGGTTTGAAATAACCGGGTATTAATTACCGGAGGACTATTATTTACCTCTATAATATTAAAAATTTATTACTAGATTTAAATATCCTTGAATAATTCTTAAAAATTAGTAATTAGTAATTTAATAGGAGTAGTAAACTAGGGGATTTGCTTTTCGAAATCTAAGTTAATAAAAGACTAAAACTCCTTATTAAAAGCCTTATTTTTAAATCCTTTCTCCTAGAGATACTAATCTTCAGATTTATTAAGAATAATTTCGCTAACGGTCTTAAAATCGATAGAAGTAAATATTATCGTATTATATTATATAATTTTATTTACTTTAGTAGGTAATTGTTGTGCTGTATTTGCCCGGATTACTTTAACTAGTAATTATTACGTATAAGATTCTTAATTATAGAATACGAGTACGAGTAGGGGTATTAATTTAGTAAAGGGTGTAGACTATGTATTGTGTAGAGCTCTGTGCTGGGGAAATCCCTCACACAGAAAATCTAGTATCGAGGTAATGCCAGCGTGGCCAGCTTACGTAAGGTAGCTGGGCTGGCCACCCTGGTCACCTCTTTTATCTGACAATTGGATAATCGCTTCTGTCCAGAGCTTCCTTCCTTCGACACTACCTACACCTCATCACGCTACTAGACTAGTGTCAAGCGTCATTCGTTCCATGTCACTCAGTGCCGATGGCAACCACCGTGAGATTCGGGTTCGCCGAGTGTCGAATCACAACTGGAGTGTACACCCACCACCAACGCTTTCGACCCCAATGTCCCTCTGGCAGTACGTGTTGACGTCGTGGGCGTTTTCTTCCGGATGTGGAAAGTCCCAACACACTCCAGTCACTCGACATCAGGAACACAGATACCAACAGTAGGTAATCTGTTATCTCGGAGAACCAACAATCGGCTGAAATCGCCAGAGGTAACTGGCGACAAGCGTCGATCCTCATGAGCCGGATCCAAGACTGGTTGGGGCAAAGGCTTCTTCATTCCTCCAGCACCCCAGCACCATTCCAAGCAACACCTTTCCCCACAGACACTCAATATTACAGATGCTGCATGTCTTGGTCTACTCGACGATTGCTCCAGATAGTAGGCAAGGTACACTCTCCTTCAGATCAACCCCTGCATCAAGAACCCCCGGATTTGCATGATCGATGGGTAGGTGAGGATGGTTACTTTGCCGTATGCAAGTGTTTCTTCCCAGGCAGGTACCGAAAGTTGTACCTACATCCATCACTCATACTACCTCGATGTAGTGGCCAGTGGCAGCCAGATAGGGACCAGGAGGGCGGGCCTCAGAGAGAGCTGGGCTGCAGTGTCCCAATTCAGCCGGCCGTGTACAGTAGCAAGCCCTGGCTCTGATCATGTCCTACAATGGGTGGGACTTGATTCAAACCTCCAACACTCTCTCTGCTCGGCCAATTTTCCGCGTGGTAGAGGTAGTATTCTACTGTAGTCCACTGCACCGTCAAATTCCCGTGCCAAACCAAAGTGGTGAAGCTAGTGTGACTTGTTAGCCGCTTCTCCGAAATAGGCAAGCAACATGCACACACATCTCCCGTCCTTCTCAGGCTGTCCCCAGTCAGATCTTCCACCCCTACCCTGCAGCTGGTCTCTACCTCTAGTGTACACTACAACCACTACACTACTAGGTCTAGTCAGGTCCACAGCCAAAAAGTCCCATGCCAAACATTCCCACCCCTGCGGTTCCTACTCTCAAGTTCCCTTTATATTGACAAGACTATTCCCTCCTCCGACACTTCCTCTCCCCAGATGTCTAAGGGGTCAAACACGCTTCTTGACGATCTCCTCCTCTGGATTGCTGTATAACTAAAGGAAATCACCTCCATTGCTTTCCCCTTGTGACCCCTCGTCCACTCATTGTTTTGTTTCATTCCGTCTTTGCTACCACGATACTCTGGACAACCAACCAGTCTACATACATATTCATCATTATCAACATGGTCACCCACGCACTCTCCATGTGCGACTTGCATCTGGACATGGACCACCACCACCACGACGCTGGCTTTCTCGACTACCCGCCTTCTGCTTTCACCGGTATCAGGTCTTCCTACTCCTTTGCCTCCAACGGCCCGTTCACGCCATCATCCGGCTCGTCCACGCCTGCTCGCCACAACTCAATGGACTTCGGCCCGTCGTCTTTTGCCCCTCCGGTGGACAATGTCTTCACCCCGCCGCCTTCTTCCGTGTCTGCCTACTTTCCACTCAACATGAAAGCTGGAGATGGCTCCGACTTATTCGCACCCGGAATGCCTCTCACACCTTCTCGAACCCAAGTCAACAACAACGTTCACCCAATGCAATACTACAATGATGTCGCAACCCATTTTACATCACCTCAGCAGATGGACTACTATACGTTCCACAATGGCCTGGCTCCTTCACCTCTCGCTCCCAGCCCTGCTGTACAGGCAATCCAGCCTGGCAACACATACGATGCGTGGTCTGTCTGGGGACAAGCGGAAAGCCCCATCTTCAGCAAATTTCTCTCGCCATCGTCAAGCTCTTGCCGGTCAGTCTCAAGAGTAAAACAAGAAGGCGACATGTCTCCCATGTCGGCTGGTGGACACTCGTATCCTTCGCCCACAGAAAAGAGACAGCTTTATGTCGAAGAGGCTCGGCAAAAAACCACAGCTCTCCAAATGATCCAACGCGATGCCCCTTTGGCTCCGCGCCCCTCCATGCACATGAACGGAGAAGGCAAGCCAGAGCACGAATCACACAACCCATATGGGCCCGGGTCGATACTCATTGACCCCATTCAGAGGGTCTCTGCCAGAACCAACATCTGCGATTACCCAGGCTGTGGGAAAACATACAGGCGGTCGGAGCACCTCAAGAGGCACAAGACAAAGTAAGTCATTCCACCTCCAAAGTGTACAACACACAGGGTCAAGCTAACAGCTTAAACAGTGCTCACTCGGAAGTCCCAGTATGGTATCCCTGCAGCTTCTGCGACAAGAAGTTCAACCGACCGGATAACAGAAGACAACATCTCGGGCTCCACGCCAAGCCACGGCCCACCAAGATGAAGGGCGTCAAATATGCTCCCAAGGCCAAGGCTGCTCTGGAAGAGGAGCTGAAGAACATTCCTCGACGGAACAAGAAGCCCAAATCCGAGCATCACGCCTAGGCTGTTTGCATCAACCTACCAGGCGTTTGGAGTCTTTTTATCTCTGATTAATTTCTTATTCCTCTTCTTCTTTTCTCTTTGTTTTTTTTTCTTTTTCTTTTATTACTTTTTGGTGCTGCTGTTTTGCTTTTACTTTTCACGCAGCAATTTGTTTCATTATCGCAACATACCCCTTTTCTATATCACGACCGTCGGCGGCGCACTCAACGTGCTATGCTTCCAACAGGCTTTTTTTGGCTGGCATGGCTTTTGCTTATCTCTTTTGTCCACTGCAATACTGCATCCTATCATCTGGGGCGTTTGGAGGCTTCATACCTTATCTAATGTGTGAGATCAGTCGAGAGCGAGAGACAGAGCTGGGTCTCCATAACGAAGACCATGTATTAATCACAAGTACTGTAACACACCTGGTGCAGCCGCGGGCGATCATATACCCGGGAGGCAACAGATCCACAGATGGGAGTTGTATGGATGGGAAAGGGCGCCCTAATGGGAAGGAGGGGCACGCTTGTGCCGGCTCGGCTAGGAGGGGAAGGAAAAGCAAAGGGAAACTTAAACTAACAAAGGAAAAAGCAATTTTCCAAATGAGTATAATGTTACCAACTAAAGTCGAAACCGATTGGCCACTTTGTCACCTTGAATTTCTTCTGTTTCAATGAACGTCGGAGATTGCTTTGCAGTCCCTCTGCTGTGTGTAGTTCCACTCTTTCCCAAAAACCCGGGAGTTCCTTGCAAGTAAGTAACAACGGGAAGGAAGGAACAACCAATGGCTAAACAACCAAACGTCGTACGATCAAGGCGACGTACGACGGGGGGGGGGCAAACAACCAGCTATCAAAAACCACTACACTACACGTAAAAACCCTGTGTCTCAGATTCAGTCTCTCAACACCGACTGGGCAACTGCAAGGCACACGGCACCCCGCAATTTTTCAATATCTGCCCGAGACAAGATTCTTTGGGAGGGGGGGGGTGCTGCCCCGTTACTTACCGGTAATGGGTTGATGTAGCAGTCACTGAGCGAGAGAATGTCGAGACTCGAACCGTCTCGGCCGGGTAATAGGTGTTGCCGTTCGTAACTTATGAGTGGCCATTCGCCGTCAATAATGGGTACCTATTTTGGCCCGTTACGTCGGGCCGCTTCAGGCTCGGCACTGTACCTACCTCTAGTAGGCAGTATTAGTGGTACTAGCTTAGGTCAATGGTAGTGTAGTCGGGAGGCAGATAGGTAGGTAACTGAAGGTAGTCCCCTCAAGCTTTGAAGTATGTCTCTATCTCTAGTGTACTTGGTATACTACACACCTACGTGCTATGTAGGCCTTGTGAGCTTGTAAGCTTGTGGAACTTATTGTCAGCTTGTGGAGTTTCCAGTTGGGTGGTCGTCAGCCCAGAAGTAATAGCGCCAGGAGAAGAAGAAGAAGACATGGAAGAGTACACTTTAGAGGCGGGTTTCGTCCAATCGGTCGTCATCATTTTCTAGCGGCTTAAGTTCACTAGAGGGTACAGTAGTCTACACTTAGTTTCTTACTCGTCGGCTCCCCGGCTCCCTGGCTCCCCGGCTTTCTGGGTCCTTACCTAGTGACCGGAGGACTCAACTAGAGGACATCCCCACCTAAGTAATCTAGAGGGTACATTTACTAGTATGCGTAGTGTAGAGGTAGTAGGTATATAGTGTAGTGTAATTTTGAAGCAAGTATCCATACGTAGAAAAAGGAAAATAAGAGGCAAACTAGTGTACACTACTGCGAACATAGAGGAGGGGTCCAACCATATCCTTGGGTACGTCTCCATACCTCACTTTGCTTTTTTTTTTGGGTAGCCGTTTTTTGCTTTTTACTTTGCTTCTTTTTTTCGGTTCTCTTCTCGGTTCTCTCCTTACGGCGATAGTACCTACATCAATTAAACCTAGGAAGCCGAGCAAAAGCTACCTACTGCGGGTAAGAGATTGGAGTGAGATCTCAACTTAAACCACCAAAGGGTGTCAAGGTGAAGTTTGCGTACCTCCAGACTTACAAAACTGCCAAGAAAGACGAAATGGGGCCAAGCGGCCCTATAAGGTTGACTGGGCTTGGGTTCCATACCTAATGAGAGGTAGAGATCTATAGTGTAGTGTAGGTAGGTTCCGATAGCGAGCTGAGATGAGGGACTTGGGGGGTTTGGTGGCGATGAACATGTGAATGGGGGATGTTTTTCTTTTCTTTTCTTTCCCCTCGAGGTAGATAGGTAGGTACCTACCAGGTACGTAGTGAGGTAGTGCGCGTCGCAAGAAGAGAATAATCCCAATTCCGAACTTTGCTGGTAAACAAGAGCAATAGCATCAACCTTGTCACTAAAATGTATGTATGGCTTCATGTTGCTTAAAGGAGGTACGGATATGGTTTTCTGTGACGAGTTTGTTGAAAATGTAAAAGGCTACTAGAGTAGGTCATCATGCATAAGTCGCTTGTTCTTTCTCACTTTCTTCCTACCTTAGGTAGGTACACATAGAGGTACTTCGGTGATAAGCTACCTCTAACCGACCAACGCATCTGATAGGTCCAGTTCACCACACCAAGCCCAATCGTGAACCTGTGATTGATGTTTTGCTTTTTCACTAAGTACAGCGAACAGGCAGGTTAACGTACCCGCAAATCACGGGTCCAATTCCATCACCGGCCATAGGTCCAATGAGTAGAGGTACCTATTCTATCACTTACCGCCTTTCTGCGAAACTTGACACTTTTCTGGTCAATCTTGCGAATGATGGAACAACTGAAGCTTTACCCAGAAAGATATTAATTTTCCATTCCTGAGATGCATCTTGAGGCTGTCTATCAATTGTCAACTGGGTCTGATCACAGCAGAGATCTTGTCCTACCACATTTACCCCATACTTCTAATCGATGTTCAAAGACATTCCCGCTGCTGTTGCTGTGTGGGTGTGGGTACACAATAAGCCACCTGTCAGAGGAACGGAATCGCCTCCTCAGATGGATCAGTAGGTAGGGCCACCCGGATGGATGTTGCAGGTACCCGCGCCGCGACTGTTTTTTGTCCTGGACCTGCATAATCGGTCATTCCAGTCGTCATGGTGGTGGTACGGGTAGTGGTTGCAACCTTTTTACATTGCGACCAGTTCATCACTTACATTGATACTCTGGACAGAACGAACCCCTCGTTCGATGAAGGGAAAACAGCTGTGTCTGTTGTGTGCCTGGTGGGTTTGCCGAGGAGGGGTACTGGAGAGTTGAAAGTGGCAATGGTGTATAGCTACCTACACTGCACCACAAACTGGAAGTGAGTCAAACCTCGATTGACTTTGTTCGTCCTTTTGGGAAAGCCATCTTTGCCGATCTGTATGCCGCATTCCGGCTTCATGTGCGAATTGCGGAAGAGGTAAGTTCATGCAGTTCTGAAACCTTTAGATTGTCCACATATCGTTCATCTAAGAGCCCTTTGAGTTACAGGGTCCAGTGATCTTCCACACGCAGTAGTTTTATGCATGGGAAATGATAAACAGTCAAAAGCCGCCGAAAGGGGTTCTGTTGTTATGCATTGATGGCGATAGATGGCATGAGAAGGATCATCATTCTTGGCGAGGACTCGGTGATATCCAAGATCAGGAACATGGAAACTGACAGGTCGCCGGTGCGGATGCCAGTGATTTGCAGGCTGGTAGTCGAGAGGAGCCCATAGGAGGAGGAGGGGAATGCAAATTCCGATACTTGCCAGCCGAGAGCAAAGCTGAGAGAGGAGGGGTCCTCTTTCCCCGGACTCTCGTCGTTTCTTCTTCCATCCATCCATCATGCCATCAGTTTCCCACAGAGTTGATCGCCGATCATATCCATGGTAGGACCCCGAATTATTTTCTACGTGTTACTTTTTGCGCTTGCCCTGTTAGCTGTAGGTTACCTCTAGATAACTCTGATACCAACACGAGGAAGCTATTTTACCAACAGATGCAGCAAGTGTTATTACCCGACTTGGCGACAAACGAGATAGAAGTGTTATTTCTCCATCTGCACGACAACGCCCCGGTGAGCTTGTATAACATGGGTTTCGGGCTGCACTGTACGGTGCCGCTGGCCGGTCGAACATGCGGCGTGGCCGGCTCCTACGACGGTTAGGTAGATGACTGAGTACAAGTTGGCAGTTGGTAGCATTTGAGGAACGAAGAACGAGAAAACGAAGAAACAGATGGACGGGTACAACCAACCAACCAACAAGGCAGGTTTCGCCTCGGGTAGAGTAGCAATCTGGACCGAACGGAAGGCTCCGCTCTCACGGGGTCTAGAGTAGTATGGATCGTCACTGGGCTGGGATTCTCTAGTGAAAGGCCTCGCTCGAGGTCGTAACTGAACTGGGTCGCACAGCGCTTGGTACGTTCCAGTGACCCGGTTCTTGGTTTTTGGTGTGTAGGTACTCAACGGATGGAGTACATAACGACGGGGTCCGTCGGATGATGACCTCCAAGGATGAGTAACCGTCAAGGATGGCGTGTGTGACGGGACCAACACCGACCCTCGTGAGGCTGGCCACTCATAACGCAGAAAAGAGGCATCGTATCATGGTGTACACTACCATACTGTGTAATGTAGAGATATCCATCACCATCCTGGTTTTGATCGCCCACCATCTTCTCTTGGCATTTTCCCACTTGGGAGACTTACCCTGGAGGTGAATTCTGAATCGTGGTTGGCTAGAAAAACGAGCAGGCCGGATACGGCACTACCATACATACGCAGTATAACCAAAGATGGAGGGTGTGACGAGGCGTGCGAGGCGTGAGGAAGCTGGCTTAGTACTACTGTAGTAGCGGAAGATGGTGGTGACAGCCTGTCAAGATGGAAAACAGAATGTCAAGTGAGGGGTAACACAGACACGGGTGCTCCCAGAGCCACACGGTCATGTGTTTTCTCTCTCTTTCGCTCCGCTTAGTTGAGGTTCACGTCGGTTCGGGTAGGTGGCCCGGAGCAGTGTTGTTGCAGTGAGTGGTGATGGAGGGGCAGTTGCCGTATTGGTTGTTTGGGGCTTGGTGGCTTGAAAACATTCCACTTGGCAGATGGAGGGGTTAATTGTTAGGGTGTGTTGGGGTGGAAGGAACGCTGAGCATCGACCGTGGCTTGTCGCTTGAATTTCTGCGGCGACATCCATCTACCTCTACCTAACAATTTATCTGACGGCAGGAGCTCCTCCGTGAAGATTTTAAGTCAGGGGCAGCTATGGACCTCTAGAAGCTTCAGTTTGCTTATCTGTGTTGACCACTGTGGAAGGAGTGGTGGTGATGCTGACAGTAAATGCAAGTTTGGTGTCGCTTAACAACGGCTCACGGGAAGCCAAGCAGGCGCACAGCAGGTAGACAGTAGTGGCTGTTAGTGCAAGTATACAGCTCTCAGTGAAACTCTAACAGCTTTCGCCGCGTGTAATGGATGGGATGAACTGCTCCTGCTTGGCCATCTTGTGCATCGTGGAAGGTGCAATAGGGCGCATAGATTCTGGTGTGCAGTAGAGGTATTTAACCGTGGGTCACGGTAGTAAACCGTTAGTTAGCCTGATCAACCAACCAACACCTTTGCCCACCACCACGAACCAAGTGCAGCAGCATCCCAGACCACGGATTGCAATCGCCTCATTCACCCTTCCCTCACCACCATCACCACCAACATCGCCGGTAGCCACCAATAACGTGACTCATGCTGTCCAGTATCTCCCGCCTCCCGGAAATGGCACAACATCTCCTTTTCCGGAAATCCATCAATCCTACGACTTGCTACTCCCGGGAAGTACATTGAATTAATATTGACATCCCATCCATCAACAGCAGTCAATATGCCGGAAACAAGCCTGCCGTCATACCAGGAGGCTACCAGGACGCTGGACTGGCTGGAGCTGGTTGGCCCCTCCATCTCGATTCGGGACTATGCCCGACTCTGCCGTGTGTCGAGGCACTTTTGCGATTATTTCCTCCCCAGGCTCTGGACCGATCCGTTTGCCATGTGCTACGCCCTCGACGAGCCAACTGACAGGCTGGATGGGCGAATCCCGAGAACCGAGCTGTTCACGCAAACCGTTCCTAATGCCCGTTTGAGCACCCGTTCCCTGGTTTTCGCCTTCACTCCACGCATCAGGGACTGGCCATCCGTGCTCGACCGTTACGTGCTCTCCTCCTGGCTCCCCAACGTGCGCTGTATGACCCTGATTGACTGTCCTCCCCCAAGTGATCACGAACGTACAATCCAGTTCACGGCTAGCCAGTTTCCAACCCAACCGTATGTCGTGGCTGCCGCCAGGTGTTCTAAGCTGCGAGTACAATTGCATGACCCAGAACAATTCCGGGAAGTCGTCTACCTTGATGACTCTCGCGTTTATGATCAATATGGACGCGCCCTGCCGATCTTCAAGAGTATGCACAACTTACGCATCCTGAGGGCGACAGGCCACAATATGGGAGACTCGCACGCTACACAAATCTTGGACAAACTTTGGCAGTGGTTATGGAGTCTTGATCTGTCCAACAACCGCTTGTCCGATCGCTGTCTCCAAGCTGTCGCCAGGCATGGCTTCTGGGGTTCTCGGCGGCTCGGGAGACGTCAGGATGACGGATCATGCTCATGTGCTGGCCGCGGCCATCGTCACGAACTGGAGGGTTCTGTATGCTCGAGCAAGATGGGTCTCTTCATTCACGAAACACCCTGGACCGAGGACTTGCGTTTGTATCATGCCCGGAGGTATCATGAGGACAGCCCCGAATATGTATTCAGGGCAAACCCGTTCGACACTATCCCAGAGTATGAAAAAGTAAGAAAGAGAGCCTTCGATGACTCGCTTGATGCTGTCATCAAAGCCATCTGCTTGGAGAAGGATATCTCGTCGATTCGCCGTCTCGAAATATGTCAACGTCCCCTTTGGGGTGTCACTCATCTCTACCTCAATCAGAATCCTATGATCACAGCCAAAGGCTTCAAGTTATTAATGGAGCTTGGGCTCGAGCAGCTGCAGCGGTTTGAGTGCGACTCGATGCTGTGTATGACTGAAGCCGACATGTCTCAATTCAACGAGTACTACCATGACTCCAGGGCCGTACCATCATCCGTGTCTGGCTGCAAGACCCAGGCTCTAGCCGGAATTTTGGGTCTCTCTCATCTGTTCCGCCCTGTCTTTTCTAACCTGCAGATATTACGTATCCATCACTCCTTGGTCACAAATCTACCCTCACTGGTGGGATTCGATGATCTATCTGCCCTGGAGAAGATATGGTTCGCCGAAACCTTCCTCCTCCCTCGAGCCGACCTAGTCTTTCCCAACCCCTTTCATCCAGACATGAACCCTTGGCTGAGTTCCCTGACCTTGACGCACATCCCACGGTACTCTACCGGGCCTTTGATTGAGCGACTCAAGGGATTGTTGAAAGCTGCATGGTTTCAGGAACAGACAATCGCCAAGCTGAGGGCAGAGTATCGCCGTGTCCAATCACGTCATCCACCCCCACTGCTTACCGGACTGCGCAAGATCTTTCTCGAGTTTGATGTGGACCTGCGTGAAAAGCAAGGGAAGGACCATACGGGAACTGCTGGATTGGAGGGTTTTGATGCTGAAGCTTTGCTCAATAGCGGTGCTACTGAGGAGTTCAACACATTTGGGGGATTTACTTGCAGCAGCAACAGCAACGGCACAAGCGGCCCATCAACTTCGTCCGCTGTGAGACACGTCAATGCCAACAACAACGGTACGACAAGGTCCTGGCGGCAACAACCGCAACACGGCTCAGAATTGGACCGACTAGGCACCGAGACACCATGGGTCCGAGCGGTGCTACAGTCCCGACACCAGAAATGGCCACAGGAAGTTGAACGACGGGCGCATGAAAACCTTGATTGGAATCAGCCGATCTACGTGACATCCATCTCCAAGGCGGCGTCTGGGAAGACCAATGTATTCGTTGGGTATCATCATGAAGGTCACAACCAACCGGTGCTCAACAACAACGACGGCGCGTCCTCGTCTAAGCTGGCATCACCATCAGTTCAGAATCTGTACGATCCATGGCAATCCCCCTACCTTTCACAAGAACAAGCCCGAGAACCACAAGCGCTTTCTCCATTATCAGAAAGGATACAGAGACGAGCCAACTCCCTACTCCCCCAACCACCCGCCTACACGGCTTGGCCCATTCCCCCATCCACCCCATTACCGCCACCAGCAGAAACTCCAGACCTACTAACCCCCGTTCCCCCCTGTTACACCTCCTTCCCCTTCTTCCTCTCCCCCCAAGAGAAGCAAGCCTCCATCAGCACTTACAATCTCCTCATTTCCCGCGTGTTGTGGTTGCATCCGAACAGCGTCCGTGACCCTGGCGATAGGGCGGATCCCTCAGCTGCTGGTCATGCTGGTCCTGCTGGGTCCCCTACTGCTGGCCTCGATGCTTCCAGTAGTTTCAATGCCTCCAGCATGTTTGATGCTTATGAAGGTCCTCGTGGTCCCGGTGATATTGAGCGAGATAATGAGCTACTACGAGTCTTTGGTCCCATCATGGCTGCAACACCGAGTATGGTGAGGGCAGGGGTGCCAACACAGTCTCTTCCGCGGGCAGCGGGTGAAGGGGGTGAAATGCGTCGTGAACGATTATATCGACCTGATCATATCGTACGGCGGCAGATGGAACAAGATGTGCGTCAAGCTGCGGAAAGTCGAGCGAGGGCAGCGGCGGCGGCGAGAGAAGGAGTAGGAGCAGGATGCTATGTATTCTGGTCAGCTTGGAAAGCCGGTCTTTTCGGGGATGTTGTCTTTCCGAGTTTTCCGGTTTCTTCGTCTACGTCTTCTGTTTCTCGGGATGGGTACGGTGGGTTGAACGGTCACGGTGAAAGTCAGGACACTGGGGATTTCTCTGGCGGGAGAATGGCTGGTGGTGATGGTGTTGGTGGACAAGACAGCGAGGCAAACACTAGCAACGCAGCAAAGCCAGAGAGAGAAAACAGCGCAAGCAAGCGAAATCTCTTGAGAAAAGACATGCGCCGTCCTACGCAGGAGGAACTGGGGCAGATGAAGGATGTGATTGAGGAGCTCAAGAAGTTTAGGCGTTTGACTGGTGGTGGAGGCAGTAGTAAGAGTCATTGTTCCAAGGACAAGGGGAAGGGAAAACAAAAGGCCATGGCCGTGACTGCGGATGATAGGTCTCCTGGTGGAAATTATCAAGAGGGTGATGAGCAAGATGAAGACAGCAAATGGGCAGGTAAACATTGGATGGGTGAGTTGAAAGTTATTAGGAAACAACCGGAACCGGAGGGAGGGGGCTTTTAGGGGAGGGACCTCTAGATTTGTCCAGATGCCTAGAGATCGATTGGATGGATACCTATACCAGAAAATAGCGAGTGTAAGAGAGAGAGAGAGAGAGAGAGAGAGCGGAATGGTTATAAAGTAAGGATAGATGGACGGTACACATGTATTTAGAATGTTAGAACTAGTAGCAGCAGCAGCAGCAGCGTAGTAGTCTAGAAGTATGGTTAAATTTGCATGATTGTCTGTTTTTCCAATATCTGTTTCCATCAATACCACTTCTCTAGGTACCTGTTGTACAGGCACCTAAGCTCCATGTCGCTTGGCCAAAGGCCTGTCTACCCCTGGTGTTGTGCTATAGGTGGATGGGATGGATGGAATTTAGTTAAAGCGATGAAGGTGATCAAAGAGATAGATAGGTAGATGCTCTAGTAGAGACTTTCGTGTCTAGTGTCCAGTGTTCAGTGTCTACTGTCCCTACTTAGGTACTCTCGGGATGACTTACTCGATACATCATTTGAACCAACCCTTCCGCTACTTCTTCACTTCATTCACTTCAGTTACCACATCAACTGGCCAATACATGCATGCACTGTCGATAGTAGGTGCCTTACTCTGTACTTGTCTAATTACTCCAATCACCATCCATCCATCCATCTATCCATCCTCCGCCCCTATGTTCATCATCGAACCCCTAAACTTGACTACCCAAGGTAGGTAGGTAGTAGTTAGGTAGGTTATGTACGGAACCAACAAACACACGGACACTTAACGGCTTCTTCTATCCCTCCAGTGATTACCTAACAAACCTCACACGACTCCAGTACCCCCCTACCTTTATTATTCATCTACCTAGGGTAGGTATTCTACGGATCCGTCACCCATTTTAGGTAGTTGAATGAATTCATTAGGTAGGTAGAGGTACACTTCTAGGTTTCCAGCTTCTAGGTTTCCTGAGGTTTCCAGGTTGATATAGGCTGATAGGTAGGGTTACAGGTTGATACCTCAGAGGTAGGTAGGCTGGTATATCTGGCGGGACATGGTATGTCTCGAAAAGATCTTGTAGAGCCGAGTACAGAGCTGAGTACAGTGTATAGAGTGCAGCGCAGAGTGTAGATTTAGAGTGCAGTGTATAGAGTGCAGTGTATAGAGTGCAGTGTATAGAGTGCAGTGTATAGAGTGCAGCGCAGAGTGTAGATTTAGAGTGCAGAGCATAGAGTGCAGAGCTAGAGTGTAGCGCATGGAGTGTTGATATCGGAATATCTTCAATGCAGATATAGGTAGGTAGGTAGGTAGGTAGGTAGGTAGGTAGGGAAGTAGTGAATAAGCAACTAGGTAGGTAGGTAGCTGGTCTTGATTGCGGACGGTGTCAAGGGTAAATTGTATACAAGTAGCTAGCTAGCAATGAAGTCTTGTTCATTCGTCAATGGTAAACGGTAGGTGGTAGATGGTACTCTTTCATCTCCTTCTTATCTTTCTTTCTTCTTCTCTTCACCATTCTCCCTAACACAAACCACACTTCAAAAACGATGAATTAACTATGTACAATTACAAGTTCCATAACACATACCATAACCACCATGTTGATATCATCCCTTTCCTTCCGAAGCTTCAGTTATTGATTCTTAATTCTATACATCCACATAAGGTAGGTACCATCGTATAACCCTCATCACTACATGCATGATCTTCTCTTCTCAAACCATCCACATTACCTCATTCAGTTTCAGTCAGAATCAAACCACCCCCCGCTCTTCCCCCTCTTTCTCTCACTCCCCATCCCCCCCGCATACTTCTCCTCTTCCTCCGCCCACTTCTCCCTCTCCATCTCTTTACGCGCCAAGTACGCCCTCGCAAACCTCCACGCCTCCCAATCCGCCAAGTTCCACGCCTCCACCGCCTCGCGAATCTTGATTTCTTCCTTGGTCACATGAATCTTCTTGTTTTTATTGTCGGCTGCTCCTTCGCCATCATCCGAGGCAGCAGACGAAACAATCGTCTTGGCGATCGACAGCAGATTCGGTTCCAGCTTGAGATCCTGCTCCGTAGGGACCGGGCCCTCTTTTTCGTCGTGCAGGGGAGGCAAGATGAAATTATCCTTGGGTTTATGGATTTCGCTCTCGATCTTCTCGGTGGCGTCGTCATGTTTGTGTTCTCCTTCTTCTTTGGCCTTGTCTTTGGGGGAAGAGGCAGGAAGAGCAGGGAGGTCGAAACCAAAGTGCCAGTCGAGAATACCCTCGGGAGTGTCGTCGCGCTCGGCAGTGAGCCAGAGAGAGCGCGCAGAGCCGTATTCGCCTGCTACAGCCTCTTTGAAGCGCAGGACGCGAGCGCCGGCGGGGACGGCCTTGCCTTTGAAGAGATCGGTCATGAGGTCGCCTACCCAGGCGTCGCGGACGGATTCACGACGGATCCAAGGGACGGTGATTTGCTCGCGCATCGAAGAGAGGGATTGGATGGTGTATGGGTGGGGGACGGTGCCGATCGTGTACAGCGCTGAGCTGTTCTTGTAATGCGCGGGCGTGGAGATCTTGATGGGGTGCGAGGTGGTCGAGCAGGGCACGCACTTGGGGCGGTTAGGCGGGCACGAGGACGGCAGCGGATTGTTGGCCGGGCAGGAAGCCAGGCGCAAGGCGACAGAGTACGAGGGCGCAATCATGTGCGTCGTGTGTTGAGGGAGAGGCTTGACGACCGCGATGCCCTCCGAGAAGAGGCTCTGCCAGGTCTGGTGCAGGTGCGCGTTGATCAGCTCGTTGAGCGACTTGAGGCCGGCGACGCGGTCGCCGCCGATGGTCTCGGCTACCTTGGGGTAGAGCTTGAGGGCGGAGGCGGAGTAGAAGGCGAGGGAGGAGGGCTCGGTGTCGTCGATGGTGAAGGGGCCGGCTTCCTTGGAAGCACTGGTGGCCTCGAGGAAGTTCTTGGCCGTCTTGAGGTTGGGGCTGGCGAGGGCGAGCTTGATGGCCTTTGCGACGTCCGCCTTGGGGCCGACGAAGAGACCATCGCCGAGATCCTTCCATCTGGTCAGGCCGGGAAACTCGCCGCGGCGCAGGTAGACCAACAGAGGATCGTCGTAGGCGCCCATGGGGAATAGGAAGTAATGCGCCAGCAAGCCGCCGCCCATGTTCTCCCAAGCCAACCAGCGCATCATGTCCGTCTTGAGAGAGGCGTCCATTCCCTCGCTGCGGTGCTGCAGTTCCTCGTACATGGGGTTGTTCATAGCCTCGGCAGGGCTGAGAATGATGGGCTTGAAACCCTGCGCCCACCAGGCGCGGCGCCACGAGAGAAGGATGTCGCTCTCGACTTCCTTGGTGGCCTTTTCTCTTTCGATGGTGTTGTCATAGTAGACGTAAATGGGCGGGCGCTGGGCGAGCTCGGGCAGGAGAGAGCGGCTCTCGTCGAGGGTGACGGAGCTGCTGAAGGGGTACGACAGCCATTTCCAGTTGGCGTACCAGGAGGACTGGCCGTAGGTGTCGTTCTTCTGGCGTGGGGGCGCGTGGGCCGGTTGCTTAAACGGGTTGACCTTGTTCCAGGGGTTCTTGATGGAGTCGGGGATCGAGAGCTTGTGGTCGGCGATCTGTAGGCTGGGACCGGTCGGGATGGCGCTCGGAAGGGTGAAGAGAAGGCTGAAGATGGCGAAGAGGGAAACGGAGACGAGGAGGAGGGAGAGGTGCCGTGACCCTAGTCGAGGGAGTGGCCGTCCAAAGAGGACGTATTGTCGAGGCATTGTGTTCGTATGTGCAGTTCGCGATTGATAGTTGCGATGGGGTTATTTGCGACAAGTTGAAGTAAACAATATTCTGGGGTTCTCGATTCGCGATTCTCGGAAGATCAGATCAAATCATTAGGTAAAAGGACACTACTAAGAAAAGGAAGAGTGGGAAACGAGAGTGTCGAAGAAGGATCCAGTTCGATTAGAGATTGTTCATGGCTCGAGAAACTGAAAAGCAGGAAGCCAACGACGTGGACTGTCTGTTGGACTATGATAGAGTGTTGGTTGGAGGAGAGAGGCTGACAACTTGGAGATGTTCAGGAGAAGAGGTCAACTTAGTTCCATCCGACACTTTGTGATACAGTAGCGGGCTAATTGTTAGTGAACATCCCGCCCGCGATAAGGGGCAGCCGGGGGCGTTTTGTGGCTGTGGCTGCAACTTCGTTCGTTTACTGTGGTTGGGAGCAAAAGTTTAACCCCCATGTCAGGTATCTTGCACGGACCACTACAGAGAAAGCTTCGTGAGCACTGTGTGTTCATCAACATGACATGGGGGTTAAACTTACCCATCTCACCATAGTAGTCTCAAGTCTGGACACTGTGCGGCTGTGCGGCGGTGCGGCCGGCTCCAACCCTAACCCTTTACAGCACCCCCCCCCTTTTGACTTCAAGGCGAGTCTCTCAGATGAAGATACACTCAACAATGGTTACTACTGTATGTGTTGATGCTTCTTGTAACTTATATTAGTTAGAAGCATCTCAGTAGATGGGCTCATAGAGGTCTCCTATGCCTCCCTCTCCCTCAGCGCATGCAACATAGTCCCCTTCAACATGGCCAACTCCTCATCCCTCCTCTTCACCGCAGCCACCATGTCCATAAACCTCTGCTGCCACATCTCTTTCTCTTCCTCAGCCTTTTTCAGCTCCTCTTCTTTCTTCTTCTTTTCCAGTTCTTCTTCTTCCTTCTTGGATAGCTTTTTTCCTTGTCTCTTTCCCCCTCTACCACTCTTTTCACCAGCACCACCAGCACTTGACCCTTCAGCAGCACTCTCTCCCTCACCCGCTGCAGCACCTTCAGCAGCAGCAGAAGAAGAAGTCTCATCAGCCTTATTCTTCTTTCTCTTTCCACCACCCCATTTCCCAACTCTAATCACCTCCTCCATCGAGAAATCCCCACAGATCCCTCCCAACCTAAGTTCCCAAACCGCCGAAACTTTAATCCACTTCCCTCCACTTTCACCCGTCCCCGTCCCTTCCCCAGAGGCAATCCCAGACTCATCAAAAGCCCCTTCCCCCAATTTCGTAACCCTCAACCCCCTCCCTCTCCCGCTTTCGTGCCCCGCATCACCATCTACCCGTGAAGCAGGCCCCCCATCCCGATTCAACAGGGTATGCCCCCCCACCAGAGCCGCTAGATTGATCAAAAATCCTTGCTTGTTGCTTGCGTTCCTATGCAAGTTCTCAATAACCGTGTGACAGAACGCAAATGCTTCGTCGACTGAACAAGCGGGGATCGGATTCCCTGCGCTATCGAGCCAAGTGGCTGTCAAGATCTGGTGCATAAAGATGGATTCGACGTCGAGGAGGTTGTATTTGTCGACTGACGGGTCGGCGAGGGAGGAGGGTGTGAAGGGGGAGGGGCCGAGGGGACCTGTGTGGTTTGTGAGGGAAGATGGGTTGGGGTTGGGATTGGGGTTTGGATGTGTGGAGGAAGAGGGGCCGGAGGGGAGGAGTAAGGCGGGTTGTGATGATGATGATGATGATGATGAGGCTTGATATTGAGGGTGGAGTTGAGGGTGGGTGGCCGTGGAACTGGAATTATTTGTTGATGGTTGTGCTTGGCCGTTGATCATGAGCGTAGGCGGGGCCGGGGCTAGGAGGGGAGGAGTGGCGAGGCGGACTTCGTTGCCTACGCGCTCGGGTACTTGGAGGGAGAGGCGCGTGCGCTTTGCTGGGCGGCCGGAGGCTGCTGGAGCGGGGGCTTCTCGGACCGTTGGTGATGGTTGAGCTGGTGTTGCGGAGGTGGGGGTTTGGGTAGCTGTTGGGGCATTCGGTCGAGGCGGCGGCAAGATCGGGGTTTGTGATGGCGGTGGGTTATTAGGGAAGGTATGCTTTCCGTAATGAGGCGAGTCGCTCGATGCTGGGAATGCCGAAAAGGGCCCATCACTGTTGAGCTGTCGGTTGATGGGCGGCCGTCCTCGTACTCTACCTGTGGCTCCACCGGTCCTCCATGCTGATGATACCACTTTAGCCCCGTGGCGCCTACTTAGAGACTTGGGCTTGGAGCCTGAGGGGGTGATAGCCGACCTAGGCTCATCAGACCAAAAGTTGGTTCTTGTCGTGGGGGTAATGGCAGACTGGGGATAAGCCGTCATTGGAGTCTGACCACCATCATTGTTACCCCATGGAGCTCCCTGCCCAGGTACACCGAGCCTGGTGTTGTCAAAAGTAAAGACACTCCCCCTTTGAGCTGGGTGAGCAGACCAAGGTTCTCCACCTGGGGGCAGAGGGGACAGGGCATCATCCTCTCCGGGCTTCCTCCTGCCTCGCCGTGGCCTGATGTGCGGCAACAAAGCTCTGAGAGCCATGTCATCCTCGGCACGCACACCGTCTCTTTCGATCTCGCTGAGAGGAATAGCCAAAGGTGGGATGTCTACCCAGTAGTCGTGATCTCGTCCGACCAGATACTCGAAAAACGCGTCGATGTGCATCGAGTGCATCCATCTCTTTAGGCGGACAGCATATTGCTGGATTTTCTGCGAACTTTCACCCTTTTCAGGGTCAGGTGGGTCAACCCCCAGCTTCAGAGCCAGTTCGGCCCATGTTTTGATTTCCTTGTTCTCCAGCTGCTTGATCAGACCAAAGAGGACAAAGGTGTTGAAGGACTTGCCGCCACTCTTTGGAGGATCCGAAAATGTATCCCGGAGCATGACGGTGTCGGTGTCCAGCGGTACATGGGGATTACAGTGGAAGATGAAGTCGACGTAGGCATCCTCTATTGTCTCTTGCGTGATGTTCACGTCTGGTAGAGGAGGGCGGGTGGCATATGGTGGGTAATTTGGTCGAGGAGGGCGCGCTTGTGATGTGGGAGCGGGAGCAGCCGAAGCAGAAGTAGGAGCAGCAGCAGCAGCAGCAGACATGGCGGCAGATTGTGGTGTACTTGAGGCACCACCCGCTGGTTGACTGGTTAACTGAGTGGGTGTCTTGTCGGTGGGGGATGCGGTGGCAGACTCGGCAGCAGATTCGGCACTGGTGCTAGCAGCCTGGCCCATGTCTGAAGCCGGGTCGATGGAGGTGGGGGATGCCGTCAAGGTGCCGGGCTGAATTTGCGAAGCGGATGAAGGACCGGCCTGAGGATCCTCTGGTTGGTCTGACTCTGCTTCTTCCAAGGCCTGTTGGCCTTCCTGCATCGTGTTCCAGTTGTCACTGATGTGAAGCGTGGAAGCGTAAGGATGCGGCTGCTTCTTGAATGATTTCTTACTGAGTCAAGAGTTAGGATATGGTATGTAGACAGGATAAAAGGTGGAAATTGAGTGGTATTTACGTGACGGGCGGAATCCAGTGTATCATATCGGCTTGTTCCTTATAAGAAGAACTTTTTTTCAATGTTGAGGTAATACGATATGTCTCACACAACGCGTCGGACCGCGTAGAAGTATGGCCTCAAAGCCTATCAAGAGAGCTGACAATGAGTATGTTGTTTGTGCCGATGAATATCAATGAGTGTCTCCGGTGCTTATAAACAAGAGTTGAAGAAAAAAAGGGCAAAACAAATTGACGGGAGGAGCCGCAGAGCAAATTAGCGGATTTTGCTGATTGCTCCACCGCGAGGGAATTGGAACTTGGAATGAATCGAAGCAGTTAGCTTGAAGACAGTGAGCCTTCATCCAATGCTTCATCACCAGCTGTACGAGTGTCTGAGGATATCAAGCAGTACGGTATTCTGTAGAATCGACAAAACCGCAACTGGCATAGATAGTGAGTGGTTGGGCAAAATGGGCAGTGTCAATCGTCGAGGTCAAAGTCAATGGGGTGAAGAAGGGGGGTTAAACTGCACGGAAAGGGGATAAAATTGGTTGGTGGTTCCCCACTTTCCAGCCACTGATAGGCTGTGACTGGGCCATGGCTGAGCGCCACTTTCTTTTTGCCGTGGTATTTATAGCTTGGCGTTACTTGGACTGTAACCTGTACGGTACGTATTCGTTACATGTCACATTCCTGTAGCTGTGAGGCCGCCACCCTGGCAGCAACATTGACCATGAGGGCCATGTTTTGTTAACGGTAAAAATGCTGTGTATACTTTGGATAACGTTGACATATTCAACGGTCTTTCTGGGGCGTACATGACGTGCCGCCAGTCGCAGTCCAGCTTCGCCGCTCTCCCACTTACACACAGGCCGATGCGGGGCCCCGGAAAACGTGCAGAGGGCTGACTCGGTATTTACCCCAAAGACTTTGGATCAATACTCATCATACGAGATGACCGACGGTGATGGAGGCAGGCAGAGTGTATCAAAATAAAAGGGGTCATGCTGGAAAAAGGGTTCGGCTGTCATGCCACTCTGATATGGATCGTCCAATACCAACTCGGCGTTGAAGTTGCCGTCATTTCGTTGGCCACATCCTTCAACTCGTACATGTCGTCTGAATTATATGAGGCGGTCAGTATGGAAACCACAAAGAGAGGAAAGAGGATAAAAGCCACGATACGTAATATTGGATATACGATACCTAGTCAAACACTCAAGAACATGAAACAGCATTCCCCCGCACCATTAGAGTAATACAGGCAGCCCGGATACAAACGGGACGGGAATCCAATTACCGAATCCCAGGGCTTTCACATGATTGAGGTGCTCCGTGCTTGGCGGAGAATAATTGCCCTGTGACGTCGCTGTAACTTTTACCTAGTTTTACCCCATAGAAACCCCCAATTACAGTGGACTAGATGCCCCGGCCCGTTGTAACCTCCACTTGAGGTTGCTTGTTAGTGCACCACACGGCATGTGGCACCCACTCCAAACACAGCAATCGGACCTCGGCTGCTCTCTTGGACTTGTCCACCATTCAAAGAGGGAAAGAGTTGCTTGAACCGACCACTAGGTATTTACCGTAGCCATTAATTAGGATGTATCATCTCTTCGCTTCAGTTGTTTTCTAGTTCTTCCTACTCCTCTTCACAATACAAATAATTCGAAGACGGCGATAGCCTCTTTTTTCTTCCCCTTGCCTTGACTTGATACACTCTGGCCGTTCCCCGTTTGTTTCCGCGACAACCCCGCCGCCTCTCTTACACATCACAACTACAACAAACAGCAACAACATCATCATCATCACCAGTTTATTAAACATGTCGCAGTCCAAGCCCGTCGTCCCCCAAAATGACAACGTCGCCCACGCCCTCGCCGGCGCCGGTGGTGGCATCCTGTCCATGGCCTTGACGTGAGCATCCATATCCCTTTGTCTCTATCTATCCCTACTATAAGACATACGCTTACACAAACACCCACCAACAGCTACCCCCTAATCACCCTCTCCACCCGCGCCCAAGTCGAATCCAAGCGCTCCGCCGACACCACCTTCCTGGCCGCCGTCCAAAAGATTGTCGCGCGCGAAGGCATCTCGGGTCTCTACTCTGGTCTCTCTTCAGCCCTCTTCGGCATCTCCGTCACCAACTTTGTCTACTACTACTGGTACGAATGGACGCGCGCCTTTTTCGAGGCCGCCGCCGTCAAAGCCGGCCGGGCCTCCAAGAAGCTAACCACGGTGGAATCCATGATCGCCGGCGCCATCGCCGGTTCGGCAACCGTCATCTTGACGAACCCCATCTGGGTGGTCAACACGCGCATGACCACGCGCAAAGCGGCTGCTGCTGATGATGACGAGAAGAACGCTGCCTTACCGGGGGCACCGCCAGCTAAGAAGCCTAGCACAATCGGCACATTACTTGCGCTACTGAAGAACGAAGGGCCCCAAGCGTTGTTTGCCGGAGTGGTGCCGGCGCTGGTGCTGGTGATCAATCCCATTTTGCAGTACACCCTGTTTGAGCAGATGAAGAACGCGGTGGAAAAGCGACGCAAGATGACGGCCACGCTGGCCTTCTTTTTGGGTGCGGCGGGCAAGCTGTTTGCGACGAGCGTGACGTATCCGTACATTACGGTCAAGAGCCAGATGCATGTGGCGCCTGCTAGCGATGGCACGGGCGCGCAGAAGAGGGAGGGCATGATGGAGGCGATTAATCGCGTGGTGAGAGAGGAGGGATATGCTGGGTTGTACAAGGGTATGTCTTTACCTCTGTGTCCCTTTTGTCTTGGTTTTTTGTTTCCCAACATGATGAGCAACTTGCTAACGGTGAATGATGTAATAGGCATCGGCCCCAAGGTCACCCAGTCCGTCCTCACGGCTGCCTTCCTCTTCGCCTTCAAGGACGTGCTCTACGAGCAGACGGTCAAGCTACGGGGCCGCGTCACTCGCAAGGCCCTTGCTTAGAGGGCTGTTGTGGCCACCATGCCGAACCTCGCGAGATACTACGCTTAGTGGGCGAGGGATGCCATCTGCTTTCCTTTTTTGCTCTATCAGTTTGACGTCGAATTGTTCCTCAAGACTTTTGGCCACAACGACCGGCTGGTCTTGGACGACTACGACGATGACGATGACGATGAGGAGTGGCTGTAAGGTACGACAAGATAACCTTAGCAACAATCGTCATATAACAAAACAACAGCAGCAACAACAACAACAACAGCAACAACAGATCAACAACAACAGAACGTCTAGGTATCAGATACCCAGACATGAATGGGGAGAAGATGAAGTAGAAGACGGGGAAAAGCGGGAAAAGTCAGCGATGAGGACTCGAGGAACGATGATTTGATACACCCTGTACAATGCATGAGAGGCGGGCAATGTTGTCCAAGCGGGAGAACAAGTTAGCTAGGGAGTTTGGATTATGAGGGATGAATGTAAACTACTTTCGTTGTATTGTCTTTTCTTTGAATGAACTTTAGCTTGTAAACTTTAGCATTGAGTATTCCATCCATTTCCCTTTTGATTACACATCTTTGCTTTAACCAGTCTCTAAAGTTAGATAGTAAGGTAAAGAAGAATAATCTTGATATCGATCCAGTTCGCACACTTCGTCTAGTGTAACATCCACATGCACACCTTGCCTATCGTTTATCTCATACCTTCCCTATACCACCGTGACCCCAAACCATTCTATCTCCTTTTCGTTACCACCACCATCACCACCACCACCTACCCACTCCTCAAGTTGACTCGACAACCTCTACATCAGGCACAATCCACCACCAATGCCCGCCCTGCTCCCACACCTCCTCACTCCTCGGTACCTTGACCTTCACCACCTGCTTGATTTCCTCCGTCGTCCTTCCCTCTGCATCCATCTCCACCGCCTTCTTGATTCCTTCTTTCAGGATCCTCTCTGCTTTTTCCACACTGCGTCGATACCGACTTACGTTTTCCATCCATCGCTTGTGTCCTCCTTTTCCTGGTTCTTCTTGCCTGGTATTACCACTTCCTGCGCCCCCTACTGCTGTCGCTGTTGATCCGGATGTTGCTGTGGGAGGTGCAGAGGAAGGTATAGAGGAAGAGAAACCGCCACCACCACCACCGGCGGCGAAGGCCTCCCGTTCTCCTAAGCCTTCCAAAACCTCAAAGGCCTTCTTTGCTTGTCCCACTGCTTGCTGGGCGAACTTTAAGAGATGACTTGTTTTTTCTTCTCCTTCTTTTTCTCCCTTTTCTTCTCCTTGTCTCTCTTCTCCACCTTCTTTTCCTTCTTTTCCTTCTCCTTCTTCTCCTTCTCTCTTCCCTGCTTTACCACCGGCATTGACACCACCAGTCCCAATCCCCAAAGCATGCCCCTTCCACGTCTGGTAACTAGGTACCTCCGGCAAACTCACCGCCTTAAAAGGCTTCATGCGCACTTCGTACCGCTGTTCATCTGTGCCGTAGGGTCTGGGCGGTGGAGTTACGAGGGAAAGCCGAGAGAGAATGGTGTAGATTACCGAGACGGTGTCTGCGAATTCCCAGGTTATGGCTGCGTCGAGGATTGTGGATCTAAGATAGGTGAGGGAGCGAGTGAAGGCTGCTTCGGGGGTTGTGGAGTAGTGGTAGGTTGTTGTTCCGGTAGTACCAGCCCCGGAGGTGGAGGATGGGTCAGAAAGGGAGGAGGAAATGGAAACGGGCCAGCCGCGCGGGGGGTGGTAGGGTTGGGTTGGGGGGATCCAGGGGGTGGCGGGGATGGGAGGTTTCGTGTAGGAAGATGGAGGAGGCGGGTTGGACGAGGAGGAAGGAGAGGGGGAAGTAGAAGAGGTAGAAGAAGAGGAAGAGCGAAGTTCGCTGAACCGGTGGTTGGTAAACGCTTGGATGCGTTCCACATGCTGAGCTCTTGTTTTGGCCAGGTGGGAAAGATACCAGTACATGCCTGCCAGCTCGTCAGGAGCGTAGACCTCAAGCTCGAAGCCCAACTGGACTATCCACTCCATTAAGCGAAGCTTGTAGAGGTATGCCCACGAAGATAAAGGCAGGGAGTAACCTGGTTCGGAACCTGTGGTGAGCGTGGTCTGCGACTGGTAGGCTAGCGGCTTCTCGTCGATTTGGATCTGCAGAAGCTGGTCGATGTCTTCGGCGTCGAGCTGGACCTGCTCCCAGTCCTGAATCAAGTGGCAGAGCATGCGGCGAACGCGACACCGGTTCTGGCATAGCACGCGGAAAATGTCGATGTAGACTTGGGCGGCGCGCTTGCGGAAGAGTTCCATCTGGTGGGCGATGGCGAAGCGGGCTGAGTGGGGGGCTTCGACGAGGTCGTTGTTGGGGTCCAGGAGCTCGTGCGCGGGCATGACCGCGATGGAGAGGTCGTCGTCCATGACTTGGCGGATGCTGAGCCGGTCGAGGAGGACCATGTCTTTGAACAGGAGGTTTTGGAGAAGACAGCGGATGTAGACCAGCGGTTGAGGTTTCTGGGCTTGGTAGTGGAAGACGAAGTTCAGAAGGCTCTGAGAGTCGTGATAATCCAGAATCTTGATGGCGTCGATGGCGTCGCTGCATAGCTTCTTGAAGTGCTTCGCTGCTTCGTCAAAGCTGAGCGTTACTATCGGCCGAGGAGGCATACTACTGGCCAATTTCCGCTGAAGCTTGGTGCTGAATGCTTCGGGCACCTCCTTTGCCAGACCGGGGAGCTTGAGGATGGCTTCCCATACGCTGTGCATCTGACACCAGGGTATCTGGAGAGAGTCGGGGCTACCGCGATCCTCTATGAGTTCGAGAGCCCGAAGGAAGGCTGACCTAAGCTCAAGGCGGAATGAAAGTGCCTGTGTGATGTCGGTCCCGATCTCTGCCCTAAGTTCATGGAGCGTGTGTTTGGCTGATAAGATCTCATCCCTGATCTCATACCGGTCAATGTGATCCATGAGGTTGCGGCGGTAGGTGTTGGTGACAAAATCCTCTTCCTGTCATATATGTCAGCCCTCACTCACAGCATTTCGTCCAGCCGTACTCACCTCGTAATAAAGCTCATCCCTGATCGTCTCCAACACATCCGCACAAGTCCTCACCAGTCCCAAACAGTACGCCCTCAAAACAGTCGTCATAGGATCCCTTGGCGTCTTGCGATTCCTCACAAAGTCTGCCTCCTGCAACGTAGCCGGCGCCGGTTCCACCAGAGCTTCGATATAGACGCTGGTGAGGATAGTTTGCGCAAGAGGATATCCCAAATGCCATGCCATTTCGAGACAAAGCAGCTGGTCAATGATACCCAGGACCTCCGGGGCCGATAGCTGTCGATTCACATCGTAGGTTTCCTCAAGAGTTTCGCCGGGCGCTAAGCAGCCGCTGTCCATCTTGGGATCACCAATCTGGAGATGGTGTTAGTCATGTGTGTGCCCTGTGCATGCAGCTGTGAGGGATACAGAAAGATAACACATACCTCGAGAGCCCCGACGGCCTCGAACAGAGTGAAATAGCCATCTTTCACGATTTCACCCGTTTCCAAAGCTGTGTGGGTGGGAAGCGAGTGGTTAGCATCATCATGAGATCTCAGTCTGTGGAGGCAGGAGCTGGAGAGAGATGGATACCTACTTTTACACGCAGAGAGAAACTTTTTGGTTATGTTGGTGGCGATGATCCCCGGATTAGACATGCTGGGAGCCTGACGCTCCTCGAACAAAAAATTGCGGTCGTTGTTTGCGAGTGATAGAGTGAGCAGTTCTGATTGTGGTGGCACCAAGGAGGTCAGTGAGATGTCATTACAATGTTATAGCGGGGTTGTTGCCCAACGTGGTGTGGTAGTGGTGGTGCCGTTGTTGGATTAATGAATTTTTTTGGGGGAATCATGACTAAAAACAAACCTCTTTGAACTGCAGCTTGGTGGTCGTCTGGAATCATGGTCTTGTAATTACTTAGTATGCACTTGAGATGAACATTTGTTTTTTCGTGGTTAGGTGAGTGGAGGAAGTCGGGTGATGTTTGGTTCTGTTAGGGGAGGAACCTGAGTCTGTGCCTGGCTGGACTTCTTCGCTGAATGGTGGCGTCCGTGAGCCCGAATGTTAACGACTCCCCTTTGGGTACATACCTTGCCAATGGGTTGATGAGGCTGCCAAAATGACAAACAATTCTTTATTGATCACATTTTCTATTCTCAAGAACACAATCTTTCAACTCGACTGGTTTTTATCGAATAGGAGCCTACCGTATTTTGCATATCATGCAGTGCAGCCCAAAGAGGCAATGAGACGCTGTGCTTCAGGGAAAGGAATCCATTGTGCAACATCTACGACCTCCAGACCTGTTACCTCTGTCAATGAGCCTCACACCCTTTTTAACACTTTTTTCAAGTTCATTCGTATGTCACTCCAATTCACTTCTCATCAGTCACAGTCACTCCATACATGAATGCCAATAAACCGTCTATTGAGTTTCTCTTCCTCGCTCCCCCAATATGAATGATGATACAGCTCATACGTCTTCGGGCTTAATGACACTCAACAGGAGGTGAGGATTTGAGTGCCATGCGGGAGCGATTCGCGATATGACCCCATTTCTCTCATCTCCCGGTCCACCACTACACCACCATCCTAGCACATCGTCACGGCGTGTTGGTTGTGTTTGTGTGTCGATCCGCTTAAGAAGAGGGAACGGAGGTGGCGTTCTCGGCGGCGGCAGCGGCGTTGGCGGAGCTGAGGTTGACGGTCTCGCCAGGCTTGCCGTTCTGTAGTTTGAGAAAGTGGGGGGTGTGATTAGCGTCTGTTTCGTGTTGTTTACGTCCAGTACCGGTGTGCATCCATCTTCTCCATGGATTTTTTTTTTTCTCCATGTCTCCTCACTCGTGACATTTCCCCCTCCTCTTTCTTCTCCTCTTGTCTGAATGTTCCCCGAAAGTCAAGAGACAAAAGAATATTACTTACCGACCACTTAGCGAACTTGACCTCGGCAGCCTCGCCACGACGCTCAGCAATGATTCTCTTATCCTCCTTGAGGGAGCGACGGAGCGCACGAGAGGCGACCGCGAGGTAGCGGTTGTAGCTGTGATTTTTATGAACCGTGTTAGCCTTCGTTGTCTTGTAGTACTGTTTTCTCTCGTCCGGTCTCCTCTGCTATGTCCCTCCTCTTGCACTGCTCTTGATCCTCGTGTGTTTCCCATTCCGTGCGCTATCTGGTGCTTGTATTGTGTTTGTCTGTCGTAGCTCTGGGTGAATGCTGGCCTGCTTTGTTGCTTCGAGGTCGCCGTTGCGCATCGCATGCTCGCTTTCCAATGTTTTTGTCGCATTCGTGCCCGTCTCGCTGTGTCATCCACATTCGGCGCTTTTCTCGATCCAGTGTGTCGTGTATTTTCTCTTTCCTTTATCTCCCTCAATGTTTCCCTGAACCCGACTTTTGTCCATGACCTGGGGGTTCTCCTCCTCTTTCTCTCCCAGTCTATTTCATTCCACGTTTCGTAGGTCGCCCGTAGATTGTCGTCCATCGATCATATTTCCAATCGCGGGGCAATTACAATCCCAGATTTCGGCGCATGTAATCGTTGTAATCTCTTTTGTCGAGCTCGTTCGTGGGCAGGCAGGCTCGTCGATCCCATCCACCTCCTCCTCCGTCTCTCTCTTTCGACGCAGTTCTGCTCTGCTTCCTCCCACACTTCCACCGCGCTGCTCCATTTGTCCTGCCTCTCCCCGTCCCAAACCGAAGCCCGATAAAAAAGAAAAGACAATATACTCACGTAATGCCAGCGGCCTTCCAAGCGAACACCATGTTGGGCGAAGATTTGTGGGGTGGGAGGTGGGTGTTGTCTTGACGGTGAAACGAAGAAAGACTTGTTGCTGTCTGCTGCTTGCTGCGGTACTTGCTTGCGCGCGATTCACTCAACTCGACAAAACTGGTCCCCACCCTGGTACACCCACCCGCCCGACCACCAGGGAACCCGAGAAGCTCCGCTGCCCGAAGCTTCGTGTTGTGTCACGTGATGCCCCTCCTTTTTTTTTCCCCCTTCAGTTGTGACCCCAACTCCCCCAGCTGAGACGCCGCCCCAAGCTTCCTTCCATGCCATGACGAAACAGGAGCTACGGGCGCCCGCCGCCGCCAGGGCAAGCTCGGCAGCTTACCTAACAAGGTCAAAAGTAAACATCAACCCCTGATACCTATTTTGAAGGGACCTGTGTGGTCGATGTTTGCCATTGAGCGTGATATCGCAATTTGTAAACTTTCAAATGAGCTCAAGCATTCTCTTCTCTTCCAAACTACTTATCTTAGCCGTAAAACTCACTAGTATATCTCATCTCACCCCTTAAGCTTCACATGTCACTCTCATTGATAACAGGTATCCAATGTCAACAAAAGAAATAATGCCTGCTGCATTTTGTGTTTTATAGCTCTGCTAGAGAAGTAGTGGCGAGGAATGATAAAAAGTCTAGAGGTTTGTATATGCACAAAAAGTCGTCGGTCCCCAGCCGTTCGTTCTTCATCTCCCGCTTCACAACGGAAAGGTCTACAACACACTTCATCCCGGCCGGTTTTTGCTGTTGGTACACGGTTTTGGTTTTTGTCTCCCAACCCTGATGTCTTCTCAAAAAAAGGATTCCACGCCTTTCCAGTTTCAATCGGTTCGGTTCGTTTCGCGTTTAGGTATTTCCTCTTTCAATTAACTACGAATTGCACAACCCGCTCTGCGCCCCCAAAGTCTAGTCTACGTCTATACCTTGAGACCGAGATCCTCAGCATAGGGAAGGACGTGGAGGTCACCGACGGCGGAAACGGAAGCCTTGCCCTCAAGGAGCTTCTTGGCAGCCTGTTGAATGTTTGTTAGCATATCGTTTTTCTTTTCAACTTCTTGTAGGTTCACACATACAGCCTGGAGCTTCTCAGCGGTAACGCCCTCAAGAGCCTTGAGGGTCTCGGCAACCTGGATGGGCTTGCCACCGGCAAGAAGGTTGGCACCGGCGTGGACGAGGCCAGTGCCGGAAACCTCGCTGGCGGAGAGGAGGTTGAACTTGGCCTTGGCGATAGCCTTGGTGAGGTCCTCCTTGGAGACACCACCGGCAGCGATGGCCTTGAGACCCTTGACAGCCTCAACGGCGACCTTGCCGACGGCGGCACCCTTGCCGGAGATCTGGATGGCGAGGAGACCAGCATCGGAGTAGGCGTAGTTGTGAGCAAAGGCCTCGGCGCCGGGGTTGGCGGCGGTGGCCTTGGCGAGGAGGCTGAAACCGGGGGACCACTTGATGTTGGAGACACCGCCGAGGAGACCGACGAGGACGGAAGTCTCGGGGTGGGGGACGCCAAGGGAAGCACCGGGGAAGGCAATGACGATGGCGTTCTTGCCGTTCTTGGCAACGCGCTGCTCACCACCAAAGTACTTGGAGGCGGCAGTGTTCAGGTTGCCGGAGCTGGTGGCGGGAACACCCTTGAAGAAGGGCTCAACCCACTTCTCGAGACCGGCCTGGCTGGCACCATCGGCGACAACGGCGATGTTGGCCTTGTTGTAGGCGAGGTTGGCGAAGGCGGCGACCGAATTCTCGTTGAGGTAGGACGAGGTAGGGGTGTCGACGGTAGGGTAGAGGGGGGAACCGAGGCCGCTGTGGAAGGCGACGTTGTGGGCGGCATCGAGGGCGATGGCGGCAGAGTCGAGCTTGGCCTGCTTCTCGTGGATGCAGTTCTCGACGAGCTCGTGGAACTCGTGGGCTATGGGGCGGCAAGGCAACAACAACAACTGTCAACAACAGCCATCTTTTGATTTCGTGGGAGGGAAGGTATTATCACGCACTGGTGTACTTGGTCTCAGAGATGACCTCGGCAAGGAGCTCGGTGAAGTAGGGGAGGTCCTCGCGGAGGAAGGAGGCCTGGAGGATGACGGCCTCGCGGGTGTGGTAGGCCTGCAATTGGCCGCCGAGGAGCTCGGACTCGCGGGTGATGCGGAGGGCGGTTCTCTTGTTGGTGTTCTGTGTACCTCGCCAAGGTGTGCCAATTATTAGCTCATGGGCGTCTTCTCTCCGGATGCGGTGGACCGGGGACCTGCCTTGAACGCAAACTCCTCCAGACCGACGGTCAGACCGGGAAGGGGCTCGTAACGGGTACCGGCCTTTGCGACGACGGCGAGGCGGGTGGTCGGGCCGGAGTCGTCGCGCGAGGCAACCTTGACGCCGGCGATGGTGGTGGGTTCGTATGACGCCGCGGGAGAAGCAGCAGCAGCAAAGCCGCGCTGGGCCGTCTTCGCAGCGGCCGGGCGGCGAAGGGCCAGCTGGCTTCCCCTCGAGAGAGCCGATCGGGAGATCATGGTTGGAGGGGTCGATGTCGTCCAATTGACGGTTCTAGATGATTGCGCAGCGAGCACTGCTTGGAGGACTGAGCTTCACGTAGTCTCTCAGTATACTTAGTGTAGCAATTCCGACTCCGAAAATTCCCTGGCACCAGCGCCCCAGTTGCCGGGCTGCACGTGCACCGGCAGCTGCCCAGCCCGGGCACAGACCACCATCCAGCTGCACAACACTGCCAGGCCCGCCCAGCGCTGAGGCTCCCAAGGCGTGAACACCCGGCCACGCACGAGTCGGGAGCCGCACGACGGGCTGGCACAGGCCATCACCCAGCGGTCTCAGTGGTCAGCAGTGAAACACAGCTCATCATTGGGCGCGAACCAGCAGCAATCAAATGCCCCGCGATCCGCTGAAGACGACGACGGAAGCCAAGATGTGGATGTACACTACCTGTAGATATAAGCCCATCACAGGCCGGATGGACGACCCTTCCAAGCTTCTTTTATCAGATGGAAGTTTCCGGACCCGGGTTCGGTGAGGACAAGACGGCAAGGCTGTTTCATCTTCAAAAGTATATAAGTCAGTTTCCATGCCGGGCGGATGGATTTATTCATGTCGTTGCACGACTCAACGGGACCTGACTTGGGATTGCCGTCGGGGCAACTCTGAAAAAGTGGGTTGGGCTATGTATTAACAAAAGGTAGAGGTACGTACCTCTAGCTCCTGCACACAAGGTACAACGTACGGGTGGACGGGACCCCAGGGGCTACCTAGCGCGGTCTGGCGCGCCCATAGCGATTGACGCGCGGACCTGGAGAGTCCCTGCCGCCGCCGCGCGCATGCGACTCAAAAAAAAAATAATTTGGAGCATTTTGTCATTCGGATTTCCCCGCGGTCTGTCGAACATTCACCACCGAACTGTTGCAGGCGCATTGCATTTACTTTGCGCATAGTCTCTCACAGACTAGAAACAGCACCTGGTAGTCCCCCACCATGCAAAACTGACTCTCTGTGTCAACTTAATATATAATTTCGCTACTCCACCCTCTTCTTCTTTTCTTCCCCCACCAAACCCTGGAGATCTCCCATGCCATCATATCGGTAACCGCAGAAGCTCTAGAGATAGTGAGAGGATCTCTAGGAGCCACATCTTCTTCAAATTTTAGGTTGCTACAACACCGACACCAACGGCAACAAACACCATCTGATAGCCCACCATGGCGGTTGTATGTACTCGTCCTTCATTCCTCTTCGTTGTTCTCTTCTGACCAATGACTACCACAGATCAAAGAAAAGGCAGAGTGCTGCACTCTTCTTGTTGACGAGCTTTACGGCCAACTCCCCGCAGTAGGTTTCACTAACACCACCACCACCGCCAATGCCGATCCCGATTAGGCACATCGATACTGACACTTTCCATAGAGAGTCTATGCGACTCTTTTCCAACGAGGAAAGCTCTCGGTCCGCCTCATCAGCCAGTTCTCCAAACTCAGCGCCCGCCAAGTCAAAAATGGTCTTTGCGTCCTCCAACAACACAACCTCCTCTTCTACTCCGTCGACGCCAATTCGGGCGAGGCCGAATACTCCGTAAATCACGAATATGCCTACAACCTCGTGCGCACCGGCAAGATCCTCGAAATGGTGGACAACAGCTACGGCCCCGCCGGCCGCGACGTCATGCAAAATCTCCTGCTCCTTGGACAGACCCGAATCTCCGACTTGGTGGCCGCCTACCAGGCCAAGATCAACGAGGTCAACAACGATGACGCATGGCTGAACGACAAGAAACCCGAACTCGTGATCAAGAGCAAAGCGCAACTCAACTCGGTGCTTTGCCGACTCATTGAGGCCGAGTTGATCGATGTCATTCATAGCAAGACCTTCCAGAGCGCCCACGAGATTGAGAAGCAAGTCCACAGAGAGGTCATGGACGTGTACTTTCCCAACGGCATCAAGGGCACCAAGGCCAAGGTTGAGTTTGAACAAAGAGTGGCTGAGGGCCTTCGCAAGGTGCGCGAGGAGTCCAAGACTCTTAAGCGCAAACTGGCTCAGAATGGAGGAGCAAGCAAGCGAAGGAAGCTGGCTGTTGGCAACGAGACGAATGGGGCTCCGGAAGAAGAGGAGGACTTGGACCCGGCGTTGGACGTAGGTTATTTCCCATGGGACAAGGGTCCAATTGGTGTCGCTAACTTGCCATTTCCTCCAGCCCCGACAAGTCATCCGCATCAACTACGAAAAGTGCATAGTAGAACTACGCAGCCGCCGCCTTGTCCAATATGTCAACGAGACCCTCGGAGAGACGACAGGATACGTTTACGGTCAACTGCTTAAGCAATTAACCAAAAACATTTCACGCTGTAGATCAGACCCGCTCATGGACACGTTGACGCCGGAAGAGAAGGTGACGCCCTCGGTCACAACAAACGAGATTCTTGATAAGGTCAAGACCTCGATCGACCTCACACTCGGCATTGGCAAGATCCCGAGCAAGTCCATTTCGAAATCAGCCGCGGAGAGACTCACTCCTTTTGCGCCCAAGGACAAGATTCCCTTTATGAATCAAGACGATAGCGACGATGACGAAGAGGATGGTGATTACAGCGACAGCGACGAAGAGATGGACACCAAGAAGGAAAATGGGGACGCACCGGTCGCTAGGATGAGCCGACCTGAGCAGCTGCGGCAACATCTCCTGCTGTTGGCCGAGGGCCACCCGGGCTTTGTGCGTCACTGTGGAGAGGATGAGTGGACGGTGGACTTCAAGCCTCTAATGGAGAATCTCCGGGCGACAGAACTCGACTCGATCATCGAGCAGACCAGCGGTCGCCAGGGCCTCAGGTTGATACGCATCCTCCGCACCAAGGGCAAGCTAGGGGAGCAAGCGCTCCAGTCTCTCAGCTTGATGCGCAAGGTGGACCTTCAGCAAAAGATGCTGGAAATGCGTCTTGTCGGGTTCGCGCATACGCAAGAAGTGCCGCGCGACAACAAGGCCGACCCCAAGAAGTCCATCTTCCTCTGGTACTGTGACACAGAGCAAGCGTACAGCAGCCTGATTGCCAAATGCTACGCAACCATGGTGCATTGCCTGCAGGTGCTGGAGGTGCGGCGGCAAAAGGACAAGGACGTGCTGTCGCTGGCGAAGCGGACAAACGTCAAGGGCAAAGAGAAGGATATGATGCGTGACGAGTCGTACGCGAGGTTTGCCAAGTTCTTGAAGGACGAGAGGTTGCTGATGGCGGAGATGATGCGGATTGATGATACCTTGGCTCTTTTACAGGACTTTTAACTGTGTGAAGACGAGAATGTCATGTTTTGAGCGTTTTTAGCATAGGGACAAAAGCATTGTCATCATTATGAGTTCAGTCATCTAGGATACACGATGAATGACATGTGCAATCACGGTGTCCCTTTTGAACTCTGGACTTTGGATCAACTTCCCTAGGCATTATATCTAATGACTGCGTGATCTTGTCTTGAATACAATATTTCGGATGCTCAAAATGTCGGGATATATTTTAGTAGTGTACCTACTGTAAGCTTCATATGTAACAAAGCAGCTTCGGACTGTAGGTGGTTCAGATAAGGCTGGCGCTAATGTCCGATAAGCCCCGGATTGGCTGAACCAATACTAGCGTGCCTTGGCTTGGCAAGGGTTGCACTCGTAAATCCCGCTGTCGGAGCTCGTTAGCGCGAGAATTTCGCAGCTTGCGGTGCTGCGCTTGGGGGACGCCGCGGAGGAGGAGAGAAAAAAAAAAAGTTTCAAAAAATTTCGGTCGTTGAGTTCCGACGACTCGAGACCCCGTCAACCAAAGGCATCATCCTAGTGACCTACTGGACCTGGGCTACCTGAGTGACTCCAACCGTTCCCCCACTCAGTCCAGTCCAGTCCAGTCCAGTCTCCGTCCCGTTCCTCGTCCGAGGTGGTACCTTGCTCGCCGTACTGTGTCGTGTGTTTTCATATCTTCCGGTTCCCGTCCCGTCCCGTCTTCCCTCTCTCTCTCTCTCTCTCTCTCTCTCTCTCTCTCTCTCTCTCTGACTGTGGTCTGCTTGTGATTCATTTCCGTCCAGTTTCCCTCCCCGCACACACGCACTGCTGCAGCTTTAATTTCCTTATAACCCCTCACACAGCGGTTATATATCCCGTCTTTTTTTTAATCTTTGAACACCCCAACCACAACAAACAGACAAACAAGACAAAATGTCTCCCGTTGCTGCTGGTCGTTCGGAGAAGGAGTCCAACCTGGCTAGGTTGCTGGGATCCGGTATGTCTTTCTACTGTCTGCAAATGACGATGACGTCTGTTCTGTCACGCTGTTTGGGGAAAACATGTTGCTGATTTCTTGGGATGTGATGTAGGCTCTGCTGGTATCGCCGAGTTGGCCATCTTCCATCCTGTATGTTTTCACGGGTACCACTATACCACTGCTCACTGTCGATGTCACCGGTCCCTCTCGAAGTCACTTTTGTCCAGAGAAGTCCGGACGAGAGGGAAGGAAGCTCTGGAAGCTCTCGAAGCTCCATGCCATGCTACCGCTACCGAAACAGGCCAATGGCTGGTCTAGCAGCTTTGGTTTGCCGCATTGGTGATCTGGATTGGTAGCTGGCTGGAGCTGTCCTCGTCGAATGGAAAAGAACGAGAGAAAAGAGAGGGACAAGACACAGACAAGGAACTGCGAATATCATGAGCACCCTACTGACCTTGCTGGCTACAATAGGTCGATACCATCGCTAAGCGTCTGATGTCCAACGAGACCAAGGTTCGTAGCTTTCCTACCTCTTCCTGTTAACTGCTTAAAGCAGCACCTTGATGGCCACTTGCAAAACATTCGTACTGACTTACGTCTGCCCAGATCTCCAACACCGCCGAGCTTAACAAGGTCATCTTCAAGAACAAGGCCGAGGCCCCCTTCGGTCGCAAATTCGTCTCCCTCTTCCCCGGTCTCGGCTACGCCGCCGGCTACAAGGTTCTCCAGCGCATCTACAAGTACGGCGGCCAGCCCGTCGCTCGCGACTACCTCGGCACCCACTACGGCAAGGACTTTGAGAACGCCTTTGGCAAGAAGACGGGCAAGGCCATCATGCACTCGACGGCCGGTTCGCTCATTGGCATTGGCGAGATCGTTTTGCTTCCCCTCGACGTCCTCAAGATCAAGCGCCAGACCAACCCCGAGGCCTTCAAGGGCCGTGGCGTCTTCAAGATCGTCAAGGACGAAGGCTTCGGCAACTTGTACCGCGGCTGGGGCTGGACGGCCGCCCGCAACGCGCCCGGCTCGTTCGCGCTGTTTGGCGGTTCCGCCTTCGCCAAGGAGTTCCTCTTTGGTCTGAACGACTACAACAAGGCGACGTGGTTCCAGAACTTTGTCGCTTCCATTGCTGGTGCCTCTGCCTCGCTCGTCGTCTCGGCCCCCCTCGACGTCATCAAGACCCGTATCCAGAACCGCAACTTCGATAACCCCGAGTCGGGCTTCCGCATCTTGACCAACATGGCCAAGAACGAGGGCGCCGGTGCTTTCTTCAAGGGTCTGGTGCCCAAGCTCTTGATGACGGGCCCCAAGCTTGTTTTCTCTTTCTGGCTGGCGCAGACTTTGATTCCTGCCTTTGATATTGCTTTCCGCAAGTAAGCGGGGGAGTTCAGTGTCGATGAGGAATGAGCAAAAATAACAACAAAAATCGGCGTTTGTTTTTGGATCGGAAAGCCTTTTTGATGGGTAGACATGATCTGTCATCATGTTTTGTTTCGCCATCTGTTTGTAACAATATCATTGTGCGTGTGAGCCGGAGTGATTGGGAGGGTTATCTAAAGGTTCATGATAGAATATTCCCCGGCGTTGTGTGGATGTGTGGGCAAAAATAAATTTTTCTCGTTGATATATTCACAACCTTCTGACTTTTAATTTTTCCCTGTGAATATTGGTTTCTCGGAGATTAGAACACGGCGTAGCATCGGCTCGAATCGCCCTTACTTCTCTCATCAGGTCCAGATTCCAGAGTCAGCATTTCATTCAGTGATATTTCCGTTCTAGCGACAATACCGTCCGGGCAAGTTCCATGGCCTATGGTTCGGGATCTTCTGGTGCTCTTGATCTTCTTCATTCATCCGGAACTTGTTTTCTTCTCTTTGTCTCCTTTTTTTTCCCTCTTTCTCTGTCTTTTGTAGAGAATTATTCATCATTTATGGCTCTGGCAGCATGAATGGACCTGTGCTTAGGTAGTTACACACTCCGCTCAGCGGCATGTTGATTTCTCATTCTTCTTCTTCTTCTTCTTCTTCTTCTTCTTCTTCTTCTTCTTCTTCTTCTTCTTCTTCTTCTTCTTCTTCTTCTTCTTCTTCTTCTTCTTCTTCTTCTTCTTCTTCTTCTTCTTCTTCTTCTTCTTCTTCTTCTTCTTCTTCTTCTTCTTCTTCTTCTTCTTCTTCTTCTTCTTCTTTACCTCGTTCTCCAACAGCCCAAGCAGTGAAAAAAAACTCCCCTTCAATGTTGGAATTTGATATAAAGTTCTCCCTCGCTCGCTCGGAGACGGGAAAAGGTTCATTTTACCTTTTATTATCACCCATACCACGTTCCGAGAATCTGAATCCGTGTTTTCCTACCTACCTCAGAACATGATAGGTATCTCTACTTATTACTTCTCATCCTCTCCTCTCTCTCGGTCAGCTATTATTCCTCCCTCCCTCCGTCATGTTCATAAAAGAGATCTTCTGCCCGTATCAGGCCCAGCGTAACTGAAACTCCACGTTAATGATACATAGCATCCAGATCGATCCATGTCGGGCCCAGATCTCTCTCTCTCTCTCTCAGATCAATCTACCTATCTCAGTCTTCACAATAACAAATTTCTACGTCTAGGACCACCATGTCCACTAGAACTACCTTGGCATCCTCGAAATGATTGCCATTACCGAGTTCTTCTCGCTTTTCTATAGGTAATCGTTCATCCTGGTGCTTATCACAAAAACTACCTCCATCCAAGCCCAGGAGGAGCTAATTTTATTACGAGTTGGTAGAACAATTTAGATTAGCCTCACATATTGAGGCAGCTTTCTCTTCGCGCTTGTCTGGAAATGAGAGTGAGCCTTGTGCCTGGAATCGGTCCATTTGCTACTAGTTGATAGCAGCTTGGATCGACAAAAGCAACATATTGCAACTATTCCTAGACGCTATGAGGACACTCTGGGATTCATGCTCAGATACCAGATGCAAAAACATTCGCAATGACATATGTACCCTGTGATTAAGTCTCAATCAGTGAATAATCTGCATTCTCATGAATTCACCATAGATCCATCCTTCGTCTTATGGTATTCAGCATCTTTCTGTGGGACGTAACTGAGCCTGATCGCGATTCATGACTTGCATCATTGTGTATCTGCCATGTATACAATAACAGACACCATCACAATCAATCACACAATCACTGCATCGGCCACGCTTTTGTTCTACAATATCGTTCGGTGCTATGCTAACCCTACTTTACATGATCTGGTAATTCGTAATCTGTCGGTCATATCCCGATACTCTATCTCTCTTTTTTTGTTCCCCTCAACTAAGATGCTGATACAACGCATCTATGAATGTGGATCTGCGCGGAACTCATGCTCATCTGTAGAGCCTATGCCGCGTATCATAAAAGCCATAAAACTAATGTGGGTAGTGCAATAATGAAACAAGAAATAATGAAGTTGTGTGTTCGCAGAAGGCTTTTTGCCCTGTTCTTGTGTTCGAATCAGGCTTCCAACCATATGTCGATGCTTCCATTTCTTGTGTCGATGATCCATACTCTCCGGCCAGGCGCAGTAAGATAAGGTCTTGATTAGTGTTGTCCGCTTTTGCAGACTGAGATTAGTGACCTCTGACCCATGGCATACATAACCATGACTGTCCATGTGGCTGGCATTTCTGGGTTCTTCCGCGCCTCCTTATAGGTTGAAGGGAGCAGGAATCTTGTTCACGTTGCGGCGATCAGAAGCCTCGATGGTGATGTTCTTGAACTGATCGTCCAAAGAGCTGACATGCTGCAGGGGGCGGTTCTCTCCACGCTTCTCAGGAATGGGAGTGAGCAGCGCGCCTCCATCACTGCAATCATTGTCCGGGGAAGGGGCAGCTCTGTGCGGACGATCGTTGCTGGGTGGGAAAGACATCATCGTGGAAGTCTGGTACTGAGGCAACCAACCGGTAGCAGTGGCCGAGGACAAGGCACTGCTGGTACCGCTCTTCTTCAACATATCCGGCCAGAGTTTGGCACCACCAGTCACGTTCTCTGCCTGACGGTCCTGAAGAGCCATGGAATGAGCATCAAGGCTGCTCTCGCGAGACCCGTAGGTAGCAGTCGGCTCACGGGAGTGGAATCCCTCAATGTGAGGCTGGATATTGTCGGACTGACTGTAGAGCCTGGAATCATAGCCCTTAGTACCATAGTCGTCCTCGTCGCCCAAGGTCGAAGCAGGCTCGGCCCTGTGGAATGGGTTGCTGGGATTGAAGGGATCCGAGCGGGTGAGACGGTACTCATCGGGCCTAACAGTACCGCCAGAACGAGGTGAGCGCATCTGAGGGCTGTCGGGGACAGTAGACTCGGCAACCGATGAGGAGGCAGCAGGGTAAAAATGCTTGCCATCGTATCTGGGGAGGCCCTTGCTGACATCCTTGGGAGCGTTGTTTTGGAAAAGCCAGCGAGCACGAATCTCATCATTGGTCAAGGGTCGGCTGTACACATAATCCTCGGAGGTGGCACTGCGAGGATCAACGTTCTTGGGAAGGGCTCCGAGGAGGTAAGGAACGCCGTAGTTCGAGGCAGTTGTGCTTGACTTGCTGCCAAAGTAGCTCAGATTCTCGCGGCTGGGAACGCCGAGAAAATGGGACTCAGAACCTTCCACATAGTCGATGGGAGGGGGCGGAATTGGGTCCTCAACCGGAATGCCAGACAGGCGTCTGTCAGATTCCATCCTAGCCCTCTCTAGCTCGGAGAGCGAACGAAAGCGGCCAGGGTAAAAGGCAGGAGCCGCGGCGGCCGCGGGGGGCAGATTCGCAGTCATCTTCTGGAACTCTTCAAAAGTCATGGAGTCCTCTGGGTCGAACTTCATCCTGATCTCACCATAGTCGTTGCGCTGGGTCAAATCCGGCTGAGAATCCTCATCCTCAGTGTATTCACTGGCAGCCTTGTTATTGAACTTGGAGTTCAACTGGCTTTCGGTCAGAGATGACATGGGCTGAGAGAGGTTTTTGTCGGCAGTAACAGCAGGTTTGCTTGCAATCTTGGAAGCCTTGGGAGTTTGAGAACCGGTAGTGGCATTATCCTTGGGCTCGGATTGGCCAAGAACCGACTGCTCATACTCGAGCTCGGTCTTGAGCTTGACCTCAAAACGTTGAATGAGATCGCGATAGTTGTGGATGGCTGCCTCCATCTCCTTCTCGTCAATCTGGTGACGGTTGTACTGAAGCTGATCCTCATGGTACTTGAGAGACTGCTTGAAGCCAGCAATCTGCTTCTTGGTGATGTCACTTGGCTTGATGGAAGAAATGACCGGGGGAATGGGAGGCGGCTTGTAGTTGGCAACCGAGTAGCCTTGGTAGTTGATGCCAGAAGCACCAGTTGAGCCTTGAACTGCCTGGTTGGGCATTGAGAAGGCGCCCATGACGCTACCAGGTCTGCCGGGAAATTGCTGCATCAAATGTCCAGTCATACCCGTCACGCCAGAAGGGACGCCAACCATGGAAGGTACAGCCGTCTGGTTGGCCGTTGCACCAGGTGTAGTGGGCATGAAATACTGGCCGTTGAACATGAAAGGCTTGCTCGGGTCAAAGAACTCGGGAGGAGTGATCTTGACCTTGTCGTTCTTGTCACCCAGGGAAGCAGTTTGAGCCTGCGAGCCTGCAGGCTGTGCACTGTTGACGTCTTTGTTGTGCGCCATGTTGCGCTGGGGCATCTGGGCCATACCGGCAGAGTTGAAAGCCTGAGGCATGAACTGGAACCCAGTGGGGAGTTGTGCACCGTAGGGCATGGACATGAACGGTATGCCAGCGGGGATAGCTTGGAAGCCAGGAGGGCAGCCGGGGAAGTATGGCGCAATGACGGGAAAAGGCTGAGTAAAGGGCATCTGGCCCAGCGACGGATTGGACTGAACTGTCTTGTCCGAGAGTCCCTGGTTCTCATTGAGGCCGCTCTCCTTTGAACGCTTGGCAGTCGGCGAGGGCGGACCGCGAGTGTTGGGAACAATACGTCCTCCGGCAGTAACCCGGACGTGAGTAGGTGACACAACGGCCTTGTAGAACCGCTTGAAACCTTCGTTAGCCTGGGTCACCTGCCCTCCGGGGGCTGAAATGGGTTCAGTTGAAGCGACGTCCGAGTCGCTGCGGCCGCGGTACACCCAGTCGCCCTCGTTTGAAGCGTTAGGGTCTTCGACAATTTGAGTGGCAATGTGACGGTGAGCAGTAGCTTCACGCTTTGGCTCGCGGACTGTGTGATGGGCCTTGTCGAGGTGAGGATCACGAGTTGCCTCACGGTGAGCGCGACGGCTGGCGTTGCCCTTGAACAAGACTTCCTCAGAAGCCACCGACGAGTCGTCCCAGTGTCTCGGTTTGTGGGCCGGATGCGCTTTGTTATCGGACGATTCGCTTCCTGAGCCTCGGATTATGTCTCCTGGAGGTCCCCTTGTTAGTTCAGAGATTGCGGGGCCATGGAAACGAAGACTGTACTTACCAACCTCAGGATTACCGGAAAACTTGAGCGCAGCACTGCCGATGGAAGGCTGGTGGAGCTCCTTGAGCTCGTCGATGGTGTATTTTCGAGCAGACATGTTGACTTGGATAAACGCAAACACGTGGTACGTGCGGTGTCTTACGGCACAATGCCAGCTGAACAGTGTCGGATAGAGAACGACTTCGTCGTCGTCGCCAGTTGGCAGATACGGCAGGATAAGAGCCGGAACTGGTAGGGTGGGTATCCGAACGCTAGGACCTCGTGTTAGATGTTGGGCCTCCAACTGTGAGAAGAGGAAGATGGGGCAGGAGTCGAGATATGTGCCGAGTGGTCTGAAGTAGTCGCTTGACTCGATCACAATGGTGACATGGTTGCAAAGCCTGGTGGTGCGGAGGAGGTGCTTTGCTGCGAGAACCATGTACGCCGGGAGAGGTCGGTTGTTCACCTGAATCTCCCAAAGCACGTGGAGAAACTTGCGGACGTGACGAGGATGATGGACAGGTCTCTTGTTGATGATGTTCATCTTGGATGCCAACCCAAATCAACAAGTTCTTTAGATACCACCGACGTTTGTGTATGTGCCTAGATATGTTATGAAGTGCTGCCACACACTTCCAAGATCCGTCCCTGGAGTACAACCTGGTCTTGACAAAACCTGGCTTCCCCTGTGTTCCCTCTATGCCCTCTGTGTCTGTGGTGTCTGGTGCCTAAGATGCCGGGAGTGAAGTGTTGCCAATACCCACTCCCCCTTTTCTTGTAAGTGCAGTGATGTCCTTTTGTGTCTGTGCGTTTGTTGCCTGATGACAAGCCAAGAAGACCAAAGCAATATATAGGGGTACCCGCTGCGCACTTGCACTTGTTGTTGTTGTTGTTGTTGTTGTCGTCGTCGTTGGTGTTTCGAGAACCCCACGTGGGAAGCAAGTGAAGCACGAATGGGTGACAGTGACTGAACCTGAAGAAAAGACTTACCTCACAACCAAATTTCAATGTTGGTTCGAGTGATCACGAGGCGGATCGAGTCAAGCTCAACGATGGAGATGCCGAAGAGGATGAAGTCGACCGATGGCAGAATGGAATGGCGAGAGGAAGATAGCTTTGGATAGAGACCAAAAAGCAAAATTTTCCGGTCAACAAAAGTTGGTTCGTTAGGAGACCAAGGTGGTGCGGGGTTGGATGTTTTGTTGTTTCCAGCAGAGATGTGGTGATCTTGCTGAAGCCTCGGTGGTTTGGAGGCGACCGGTAGTGTTGGTGAGTATGTCGGAGTGATATGAGAGAAGAAGGACGATGGAGAACGTCTACAGATCAAAAGGAGAAAGAAGAAGAAGATGGATGGGTCTCCAAAGAAGAGAGAAAGGTAGAAGAAGTACCTCAAACTCGATGGATGAGCTTGGAGGACAAGGCAGAAAGTGTGATATTAGGCTGTCGCGAGTCGTGAGGGGTGCAGTGGTTGCCCGTGACAAGTAACGCTGCTCAGTAAGGCTTCTCGCGCTATCAATATTCAGTCCGAGATGGAAGGAATAATGAATGCTTTGGTAAGAGTGTCGGATAATTCTGCCTTGTAGAACTGTGTTGTTATTGTTGTTGTTGTTGTTGTTGTTGTTGTTCGTGTGGTGGAAAGTGTGATGGACGCGATGGTCAAAACGACGTGGCTTCCTGAAGTGAGATGGAAAAAGATCCCTCAAAGCAGAACGCTTGGTAAAAATTTGTGGAAGGAGGAAAAAAAGAAGAGAGCGAAGGAAGGAGCAAGGGAGATTTTCTAATACGTATGGGCAGGACCCGAACTCGGAGCTCAGCTTCTGCCCGGCAGAATCGTGACTTCCCATTCTGTCACCCCTTTGGGAAATGAAGGTTCACATCTTGGGGACTTATTCATGAATGCCTATGCAGCCCCGGGTTTCAACCACCCGTTTAAGTGGAGCACTTGCCGTCTTTCTGAGCTGATTTTCGTGGCTGCCACATGGGACGAAGGACACTACAATGGTACCAGTGGAGTAACATGGAAGGGAACAGACAAGAAGAAGTGCGCTCTGGAAGGTGCAGATGGTGATAAAGCAAAGGAAAAGAGGCAGGAGCAGAAGAGGGTAACGACGTCATTTGTTTTGTGTAGCAAGCCGAAGTCGGTCGCTCCAGGAACTCGGTCACCTTTCCTCTGTTCGGTCCCGGAGAACCACGATGATAGCATTCTGGTGGTTGAGAAGATACTTCATCCCGCCGCTGACAAGAACCTGGAGAAGCCATGCGTGTTGCGGTGCGGGTGAACCTCCGTCCATCCCGCCACGTGCAAAACGGCTCGAGTAATGTTGAGACGAGCACATGGTGCGTGCCTGCGTAAACATCAGCAGCCTTGCAAACTGAGTAAATGAATAATGAACTCGATGCGGCCAAGTTGTTCCCAGAATACACTGATGAGTTCTACCATGTTCGGCTGTTCGAGAAAATTCAGTTGGAAGATGTGATGAAGACGTGTCGATGCGTGCAAGGGAAGTCCGAAGTGGCATATCTTGGACAGTGATGCGTTCAGTCAGTTATGTTGACAACCACTTGTCAGTCTGTGATATTGATTGCGAACCCGAGTCTCTTGACTGTGATATGGGATCTGATATGAGCAAGCAACAACTCAGCTGCGCCCCCTTCCACTTGGGATGCATGGAAATAAGCATCTTGCTTGCCAAAGGGACCTGCCTTGTGTGCTCAAGATTTCGAAAGGAACTTCCCAATAAGGGGTATTGTCATGGCAACTCAAAGGTACCCGGCCACTGCCAGCTCTCCGATACACGATAGAGGTATCTCATCCTGCCAAAACGACCTGACAAAAAGGAGCCGGCTCATATCCCCCAAGCAACTGACCCAGCAACGCGATATCGGCCACAAACACGCAACACAACTCGAGACAGAGCAAAGTGAGAGTAGACGAAGCAGGGTATTCGAAATTGCCAGGGCCAACCGCAAGTGGATGCTTACAAAAACTTTTCTTTCCTTGTGTGACCTTGTTGCCCTGAGTGATAATTTCCTTTTCTTTCATCTCATCCCATAGCTCATCCTCCCTCTCCACCCCGGGGAAGCAAACAACTAAACCTGCTCAGACTGAGGGTCGTCAAGGTCCCCTTCTGTTGAAAACGCTCGGTCACTCTCTCTCACCGCCTTCCTTCGTACCTAGGTAGATAGGTACCTCCCTCCTTCACAGATACCCAAGTGCCTTGTCGACGTCATCAGCCAGGAAAGGCAGGCGGTGAATGAGCCTCAAGCTCAAGCAGCCCCCCAGACGCCCAAAGTCCACGGCTCCTTCCCTTCCCTCCCACCCCTGTTCATCGCGTTCCAGCTTAGTCTTTGCTGCGTCTTGGCCTCCACATCTGCTTGCCTGACCGTTGCCCCAGTGACGCCGTGCTGGGTCCACTGGTCTTTGTCGATTGTAGACACCGTAGAAACCTTCAGGTGGGTAATGAGACTGCCGCCTGCCCAGGGGCCGAGGGACTCGATCGCTCGTAGCTGGCCTTGGAGGGGTTTGCGGCCGTTCGCGGAGGGGTTGGTACGAGCAAGTTGTGCCTCGATCGGATCGACTTCCGGGACCGAGTTGGCCGCGTCATGCCAGATGCCGTCTTCTTCTTGTCCGCTTACTGGTGCTGCTGTTCCTCCTTTTCCTGCGACTCCACCAGCAGCAGTAGGTGGGGACACACCCCCGGGCGTGGTCAAAGTGTTGCTGTTGTTGTTATTGCTGCTGCTGCTGCTGTTGCTGTTGTTTGTTGTCTGCCTGCCGTGCCTCTTCTTCAGTTTCGGGTTCGTCCGTAGTTGTTCCTTGGCTTTTCCGTAGACGGGGTCCCACCCCCTCTCCTGAACAATGTGGCACACTTCGTCAAAAATGCGCTTGCGTAGACCCAAGACCGTGGTACCCCCGCCCGTGAAGATGATTCGGGACATGCAGAGCGCTCGGACGTCGAGAGGAAGCTGGAGAAGGGCGCGGTAGACTAGTAAGTGCACCGGTATCTCGTGGTCGTCGAAGCTGGAGAGAGAGTATTGGGAGTCGAAGAAGGTGCTTTCGCAGGGCTCGGAGAGTTGGTCAAAGGTTACCTCGACGGAAGTTGGGGATCGGCCGGAGCGGAGCGGGACGGTGGTGACTTTGGGTGGTGGAGGTAGTGGTTTCTCGCCGGCAGTGGTGGCGGTGGTGGTAATGGTAATGGCGGGTTTGTCCTCGTCGCTTTCTTCAACAGTGGCCAGCCCTTCTCCTTCTGGTGATGCTAGTTGTGGAGGTGAGGATTTGGGTGTCTTCTCTGCCTTGAAGGGCTTGCACCAGACCAGCCGGTTCGCAATGTCGTGACACTCTTCAAAGGACAAGACATATTCTTGCTTGTCGTCTCTGTTGTCTCGTTGGACATGACCAAGTTCTTTGGCAAGGAAACGGTGAGTCTCCTCCGTCAACCTCCTTCCTCCTCTGACTGTTCTCTTAGTTGCCACTTCGCGGTACTCATAGACGCTTGTGACTATCGTCTCGTTCCAGCCGAGATCGACGACAAGCGCGGAGCGTACACCGGCAGCGACGGCCACAGCAACTGGCGATGATAGCAGCGAGACTGTTGGTGGTTGGAAGCGGTGAAAGAGGCTGTCCAAAGCGGCTGATAGAAGAGGGATGGGGAGACCTGTCGGTACGACACATACCATCCTTCGTGGACGAGAGTCGATGAGCATGTATCTATATCCATGTTAGCATATCCTTCTTGGCAATGGAATGCTTCACCTCGTCAAAACCCACTTTGTGTAAGCCTCCCTTACAGCTTTCTCAACCTTATCGCCGACCTGCCCCAGCTCCAAGCCCCTCACATCCGGCCTCCAAAGCTCATAATCCCTTCCCCAATTACCTCCCGCAGCTTTGGACCTCCAATCTTGCTGATAATCCGTCTGCCAGTCCCTGAAATCACCAATCCTCCGCTGCTGCTCCGGACCAAACCAAACGATGCCCCTAGGCGCTGAGTCCCCGGCAAAGCCCACCTGGATCTTCCGCGTGCCAAAGTCGACAACAATGAGCTCCTCCTCTGCTCGAAGGCTGGATGGCGTGTTGAAAGTAGGAATTGGACGCGCGGGCGTTGATGTGCCGGAGTGGTCACGGTCACCTCTTTCACGGTCACGATCTCCGCGGTCTCGGTGGCTGGAGCTCTCTCGCTCACGGTGACTGCTGCCACTGCGGGAGGAGGATGTGGGAGCAGCTCGGATGTTGGCGACGCTTCGGTGGGGGAGGGAGGCTGACATTTTGGTGTTGATTGAAGAAAAGAAAAAGGAATTTTTAATCAATTGGTGTAATCAAATCATCATCATGGTCGTTTTCGCGTCAATTGGAGTTTTGGAGCTCGAGTTGCATGGTCCAGGAAAAAGGGTGATGGACGGTGGACGTGTGCATACAAACGCTTTCAGTGAAGTTGAAGGGCAATTGAAGCCTGAAAGAGATGTCCGCTGACGCTTGTTCGGCTGCTAACAGAAGAACCGCCCTTGTTGCGGGAGGTTGCTCATCCAGGAATAGACCACCTGTTAAGAATCTGACACCACATCATCCAGGCGGGTCCTGCCGCTGGTAGTCGAGCCAACGTCTGCGCCCCACCTTTGTCCAGAAAGGGAAATGTCGTCAACAACAATTCACCTCATTTGTTTGCATCTTCCTCCGTGAACCTTTTCCTGGTGAGAGAAAGTAAGCACAACGAGCTTATAATCGCTTTCCTACCATGGCTTGACCTTTTGGCCTATTACTTTTTTGACCCGAAGTGATCACAAACTCACAGAAAACCAATCAAAAAATGGGCATCAAAGGGTGAGTGAACAAACATCATACGGTAAAAAAAAAAAAAAAACAATTGCCGCGCACCTACCCGGCGGCCATGCAACTGCAGTGAATGCATCTCTCACTGACAACCCACCTTACTACCTACTGTAGCATTTACAAAGAAATCGGGCCCGGGCAACGCATCTCCCTCACCGCCCTCGCCACCACCCACCTCGAAACCACCGGCCGCCCCCTGCGACTCGCAATCGACATTTCCATCTGGCAATTCCAAATCCTCGCTGCGCGGGGCGGTTCCAACCCAGCAGTCCGCACGCTCTTCTACCGACTCGTGCGCCTCTTGGGGCACGCAATCCAACCGCTCTTCGTCTTCGATGGGCCCAACAAACCCGCCTTCAAACGCAACAAGCGCTCCTACAGCTATGGCAACAGCCACGGCGTGGCGGACGCCATGGCCAAGCGCATGATTCGCTTGTTTGGCTTCATGTGCCATGATGCGCCTGGTGAGGCCGAGGCCGAGTGTGCGCTCCTGCAGAGGGAAGGGGTGGTGGATGCGGTGTTGAGTGAGGATGTGGATACCATCATGTTTGGGTGTCGCAAGACGCTGAGGAATTGGAGCGCTGAGGGGGCGAGATCATCCAAGACGCCGACCCATGTGAGTGTGTATGATGTGGATGAGAGGAAGGGGGGCATCAATGGGTTGGATCGGGAGGGGATGGTGTTGGTGGCGTTGATGAGCGGGGGCGATTACTTGCCTGAGGGAGTACCCGGGTGTGGTGTGAAGGTCGCTTGTGAGGCGGCGAGGGCTGGCTTCGGCAAGGAGCTTTGTGGCATTAGGAGGGCTGATGAGGCTGCGCTGGAGAGGTGGAAGGAGCGGTTGACGAGAGAGTTGAGGACGAATGAGAGTGGGTTTTTCAGGACGAGGCATAAGGCGTTGGATATCCCGGAGGGGTTTCCGAGCTTGGAGGTGTTGAGGTACTACACCCATCCGGTGGTGTCGAAATCGGAGACGGTGCAAAGGCTGAAGAGACAGTTTCCGGGGAAGCAAGACGTGGATGTGGAGGGGTTGAGGGTGTTTGTGAGGGAGACGTTTGATTGGGAGTATCGGACGGGAGCTGTCAAGTTTATTCGTGTGCTGGCACCGAGTTTGCTTGTCCAGTATCTGTTGCAAAGGTCCGAGGGTGATGATGACACTGATGATCTCGGTCGTAAGGAGAAAGAGGAAGCAGTGCTCGTCAAGGGGATCAAGAGCCGGAGAACGCATCTTAGTACGGATGCGACTCCCGAGCTGAGGATATCCTATGTTCCGATTGAGATTGTTCCGTTGGATCTGGACGCTGAGCCTGAAGAGGATAATGAGGGTTTCGGTCGGGGTGGGCTGGCTCTCAACAGCGACGATGAGTTCGATGCTGAAGATGAACCGCCAGGTAGCACCCAAGGCGGCAGCGGCGCGAAGCCGTTCGATCCATTAAAGCCTGACCTTGCTTGGATTCCGGAAACAGTTGCTAAACTGGGCGTTCCTCTGACAGTAGAAATCTGGGAGGAGAAGCAACGGGCAAAGGAGTTGAAGGCTGCGAACAAGGGGACAAGAAAAGCACAAACGACGAAGCGAACAGGAGGAATGCCTGCTGCCGCGTTGGAAAAGTACGTCAAGGTCACAAAGGGGTCGGCAACTGCTGGCACTGTCACGAAGTCAACGAGCGATTACTTATCATTGGATTCATCACCTCCCAGGTCATCACATATTGCCCCGCCCAGGTCGTCTTACGTCCCTTTTTCCAGTCAGCAACTTCCTCCGCTTTCGTCAGATCGTTTCGAGACAGCAACAACTACCTCTCTCAAGACCACAACAAGCAAAGGTACCACAAAGACATCTTCCTCCCGGACTACCAGCAAAAAGACAGCAGCTACATCACGACCACCAGCCGGCAACCCTTGGTCACTCGCCGGTTCACAAGCAAGCACCAAGATCACGAAGAACATTGCATCTTCTCAACCAACAGCAAAACAAAGCCTTTTCGACCACGAACCTATTCTGATCTCGTCCAGTCCATCGGTTCCCGGAAAGAGATTGCCAAATTCCCCACTGGAGAACAACAGGCCGTTTTCGCCAGATCCATTTGGCAGTAGTCCGCCGCGGATTGCTCCTTGGAAGGAAAGGCTACCGGCAACAAGAACGACGTCAGATCCCACACGGCACCCTTCTCAAAGATCTATGCGCGATGAAGAACCATTACGGTGGCGATCTCAGTCATCAGCATTAGCAAGTTCACCGAGGAAGGGACCGGCGTTTGGCAAAGACAAGACGCCCACCAAGCAAAGGTCAATCCTGGATTTTGGATACCCTTCTACTACCAGGGAGCAAGCTGGGTCCAGGTTATTTGGCAGGACACAGAACGCGGTCCTGCCTTCGACGACGGGTAAGACGTTTGACCCGCTATCGGATGATGACGAGGAGTTTGAGAGAACAATGCTTGCATCACTGAAGAGCAGTAGGCTAAAGACCTTTGATCCTAAACCACCACACCGGGTAGGCACCTCGTCCTCGTCTTCATCACTTTTGCCTAGGAAAGAACATAACAGATATGCACGTCAGGACGAGACCGACGAAGATGCCGAGCTCGAGAAAGCAATTCAGGCGTCGCTCAAGGATATCCGACCGACGAGTTCAGCACCTGTTGCTTTCTCTCGAACGCAGGCTCACTCTCCCTTATTCCGGAGACACAAGGCCGACCTCAGTAGCCTCCACGAAGAGGAAGACTCGGATGACGATGACTCGTTTGTCTCCATCGGATCATTGACTCGTCAAAAGTCGCCGTCCCCGTTACGACCACGAGCGGCAGCGACTCTCTCGCCCTCAATATCAGCAAGGAGGGAGCTAGCGAGAGAGAAGAGATCCTCGCCGGCTTTAAGATCATCACCGGTTCCATCTCCAAGAACATTCCAGCGAACAGAGAATACTAGGAGCAATCTCTTGAGCAGCAAATGGGACTGGAGTGCCCTGGAAGATGATGCTGGACATGGTGCACGGGCAACCGGCGCTGACAGGACGCTTAGGGAAGCAAGTGATGGTTCCTCCAGAGCGACTCCAAAGAGAAGTCTCTTGTTTCCTGGCCTGAACCAGGATTTAGCAGAAGACGAGGTCACCATTAAAGAGATGCGACATCAGACTGCAAGGGAAGGTAGCGGTAGAAGATGGCGGTTGAGCGAAGCATCGGTTATTGATCTCACCGGTGATGATTGAGTGCATAGATATTGTATACCTTTCTGGCTATATAGTTAGGATTGTTAGTATAATCAATTTTGGTAATATCGTTGAGTGCTGCTTCATCTCGTCGTCGAGTCACTCTATCTGAGGTCTCAGTGTCACCCCTAACCCTGGCCACAAGCAACTTTGCCCCATGAGAAGTCGTCGTCGGCAACCTCCGTTCTGCCAGCCCTGAGCACGGACCAGCCCGAATGCAGAAGGCGGTCAGGGCTTTTGGGCGGACCCCACAGTTTGGCCAAATTGCACCCACAAACTACTTGACCTTCAAATTTTTGCTCTTTCTTCTCTGAGAACGCGGAGATTCTGAATTCGGCATCCTTCCTCGGTCGGCACAAATCAGTCAAAATGGTCAAGGTCAACAACTGTGAGTACCACCACCGTCACTGTCAGCCATCGAAACGACGAATATCGAAATACTGACAATGGAATAGCCGTCTCCTCCAGCCGCCGCAAGGCCCGCAAGGCGCACTTCAGCGCCCCCTCCAGCGTTCGTCGCAACATCATGAGCGCTCCCCTTTCCAAGGAGCTCCGTGAGAAGTACAACGTAGGACATCTCTACCCCAACAAAAAGCAAAGAATGGGAATCTAACAGCTTAAAGGTCCGCTCCATCCCCATCCGCAAGGACGACGAGGTCACCATTGTCCGCGGCTCCAACAAGGACAAGGAGGGCAAGGTCACTTCCGTCTACCGCCTCAAGTACGTCATCCACGTCGAGCGCGTCACCCGCGACAAGGCCACCGGTGCCTCTGTCCCCGTCGGCATCCACCCCTCCAACGTCGTCATCACCAAGCTCAAGCTTGACAAGGACCGTGAGGCCATCCTTGAGCGCATCAAGCGCGGCCGTGAGCTCGCCAAGCCCACCAAGGTCTCCGCCTAAATTTGTCCGACCGATTTGACGACGGAAGGATGAGTGGAGGAGGGGTGGTGTGATGGCCTCTCGCAATACCATGCCTCTTGACGTTCGGAGTCGCCGTACGATCTCAGGGCTTCGACTTGACGACAAAAGGGCCTTGATACCCACATCCAAATATCGCCCTTTTTCTATCTTGGCGAACGAATGGCTCACGGCATACACGACGCTGAACTTCAACTTCTACACTACTGAACGACTGGCAACAAAGCGACGGCCGTGTGTCTAGGACCTTGAGTGCTGGGCTTGTTTCTCAGTACCCGTGCTAGCGCTGCGGAGGAATGTTCGCAGGACCCGTGGGTCGGTAGAGGGCAAGAGGAGTATTACGAGAAACCAGAGCAACAAGAAAAAAATCGAGACAGTTTCTTTGTTCTCAATGGCCATTTCACATACAACTTGCTGCCTCTGCGCTTCAAGCTTGTGAAATGCTCCATGGGAGGTTCTCCCGAAGTTATATCATCAAGCCTGGTTGCTCAGAGGTTTGCAAGTGCATGTCTTTGCACTTGTGACTTTTGTGTTGTTTCAGTTTGCTACTAACCTTGACATGTCACAGGCCTCATCATCTTGGACCTCACATATCTGGTCGTTACTTGGACCAAGGGATGGTAAACCTCCCTATGATATTTCCTTTCTGGACCCGGACACCTGTCACAATGTAAGGAACGTAGAATTTGACCAAACCATTTGGACCATATGACCGCCAGATTATCTCCGCGTTAACCACAGCCCCACGGTTCTCGAGGTATACGACTGGCGAAGATCAACCCAACCAGAGGACCCTAACCAGGAACCCTACTGGTCTCACCTGCAGACTTCCTTGGAGAGCAATCGATGATATTGGAGGTTTGATGGTGAGGCACATCTTCGTCTGTCGGACTGTAGTTGATAACAATACACTTTTCTCTCAAAAACTTTCACTCGTTCAGCCTACATGCTATGGTGATGCTCAAAACTAGATATCCAACTTGTTGATCCCCTCCTCGGCCTTCTCCTTCCACTCGGGCCTCCACCTCGTCAACGGCGGCCGATTCTCCACCACATCCCCCATAGCCCACACCATCCTCCGCTTATCCATGTCCTCCGTCACATCATTATCCGGACAAATCGCATAAAACTTACCCTCCTTCATCTTTTCCTCCAAGTAATCCACCACCTGCTCCGGCCACCACGCCCCCTTCGGCTTCTCCTTTTGTCCCGAAGCGCCCGTCATGCCCGTAAACGTCCACCCGGGAACCAACAAGTGCACAGAAACATTCGGATGATCCTTCGCCAAATCAAACGACAAGTGCTCCGCAAGCGACTTGACAGCGGCCTTGGACGCATTATACGCCGGATTCGCAGGGGGGTTGGTGATTCCCTGCTTAGATCCCGTAATGATAATCGCCCCCTTTGCATCCTTTGCAGTCGTTACTGTCGCCTGAACCAATGGCAAAAGGGTAGTAACCCCATTGATCACGCCAAATAAATTCGTCTGCATGGTTTCGTAAAAGTTCGTCGGGTCCGAGTTACTGAATGACGTAGGCAGGTATCTACCCGCGTTGAGGGCGAGGACGTTTAGTTGCCCGTGAAAGACGTCGTCGATATGGGACTTTAGACGGGTCCAGGACTCGAGGTTGCTGACGTCCATCTCGAAGGTGAGGAGGTCTTTGGTCTCGGGGGAGGAGGATAGAGAGGAGGAGGAGATGTCTTTGTCGGCGATGAGAACGCGGAGGCCGTAAGACAAAAGACGTTTGGCGAGGGCGAGACCGATGCCGGAGGCGCCGCCTGTTATGAGGGCCGTGTTGCCTTTTTGGAAGGCCGCGGGGGCGGAAGGGGTGGTGAACATGTTGGTGGTTTTTTGGGTAGGTAAAGCGAGGTAAGCTGGGAGGTTGTTAGTTGGTTTTATTGAGTGGTCGGAGGGAAGATTTTTGAGATGGTGAAATGGTGGAATGGTGGATGTGGTGATGATGGAGGTAATGGTTGTGATTGTGGTGAAGGATTGGAAAGTATCGATGACGTATGTAAAGACTGTGGGAATTTCGGAAGTTGATCGTCCAGATGGCTTTTGAACTGGGCTTTGAAGATCACTTGAACTTACAGATAGATTCTGTGGAAGATGTATCTCGAGAATACCCAAATGGCTTGATTGTTGTTTTCACCTTGATAGAAGGAAGATATTTATACTTTATATATGAAGGCTTACGGAAGTGACGGGATATACACAAGACTGACTGCTGGAGAGCCCCTCTTCCCCTCTCCCCACTTGTTACGGACATACAAGATGGTTAACTCCGATGATCAATGACTCGTCCTACCGATAACTTTCGGACTTTAGGTGTTCGACAACACTTCTGTTTGCTCAACTTTGTTCTCGAGCAGTTAAATGCCAGATGAAGAGAAGTGAATAGGTCAGGTGGATCATGGGATTCACCCTGGGCATCTTATTGATACAAAATGAACTTGTATCATTCACTACATCAGTTAGCAGCGTATATCATTTGACATGTTTTCGAGTATGGGGTATCCTTCACATTCATGCTCTGAACCAGGGAGCTATATACTATAAGAACATGCCCTCATTATGTCGTCTGTTCCAACTCTGACATGTACATGCCATCCATCATATATCGTTGAACGTAGATGCCAAAAAAAGGTAAGAGGAGACAAAAACTGGTCTGCGAAAACAGAAAAACAGAAGTGGAAAAGTATAGCAGAAAACAAAAAGGGGGTATAAAGAAAAGACGCCAAAGTCTCTCTGTCCAAAACATCCATCCAACCAAATCCCAACATCCGCCCAAGTCCTTACGTCTTCCGTCCATACCCTAACCATCGCTGCGCCCGGTATATATATATAATAAACAACCCAGAAAAGCATCATCTTGGTCTGCATATCATCGTTCCTTCATTCGCTCGTTCGTTCCTCCACCATGTCCCATCATTCATAACTCATCCAAGGTAAATCCCGATCATAGACCGTCGTACAAGTCAAATACCCCAGCATACTGCCCCCACTCCCACCACTTCCATCTCCCCTCCCCTCTTTTGTTGTTACGGGATTCCCACTGCCCCCGCCGCCAGAAATCTCCAGTTCCAGCCCACTCCCCATCAATGGCCGAACCACCTCTCTCGCCATGGCTTTCAGCTCTTCGATCCTCTTTTCGAACCGCCTTAAGTTGTCGCGGTTGTAGAGCTCGGGCGAGAGTTTCAGAAAGCGCTTGCAGTCATCGTAAGTGAGGTATTCTTTGGGCGAACCGCCCAACAGACGAAAAGTGCGACCTAAAGTGGCGAGATTCGGGGTCGTTGTTGCTGATGTTGTTGTTACTGCTGCTGCGTAGGGGTCGCCTCGGGGGCCGGAATTCGAGTTGGAATTGGAACCTGATGCTGACCCGGAACTGGAACTATTATGGCGGGCCCTACTGTTCGGGACATTGTTGTTGCTGGAACGGTGTCCATGTCCATGTCCGCCGCGACTATATCGTTCGGAGTTGTGGTGTTTATTCGAGGAGGAGGAGGTATACTCGGCCGAAGACGGAGGCGGGGAGGTGTTTTCTGCTAGCCATTCGCGGAAAAGACTGACGGCTAGCCAATCGACGTAGCCATTTCCCGGCCCTACCCTCTCTCCTCCGCGTCCGGTGACGCCTAGGCGGAAGAGTCGTGCTTCCACGCGTGAGACGACCTCTTCGAGCTCGTCGACTTTGTCTTCAATGATGTCCACCACCGACTCGGGCATCGCTGCTCTTATCGACCGTTCGCCCGCGGGCCACTGGCCGACAACGTGGATCAGCGCCTCCTGGAAGATGACTTTGCTCCTGGCCAAGTATCCCAGCCGCAGATAGGAGATGGGGTATTTAGCTATCTGTCGCCATAGCCGCGACTGGAACTGCAGCAAGTGGTGATCGACCCGCGGCCCGACGACGGCTAGCGCATCGTACTGGTCGGCGAGCTGCAGCAGAGACTTGCATTGCACGTAGGCGTCGGGCAAAGAAATTGGGTCGAGGGTGGGCGGGTAGTTGTACATGATACGGAAGAGGTTATCGTAGTCGCGGAGGAGGTCGAGGTCTGCCTGAGGGGGTTCTTCCCTTGCCGAGGGAGAGTTCTGGTGGTGGGATTGACGGTGGGAAGAGTGGGATAGCGAGAGGTTGGCGACTGAGCGGAAGAAGGAATTGGATTGGGTGTGGTTGGACTTTTGGCTGTTGCTGCGGTGTCGGCCTCCCGAGGACCCTGACCCTGACCCAGAGCCGTTGCCGAAGATGGAGGATTGGGTTGTTGGAGGGCCGGAGGGTGTAGGTGGTATTGGTGGTGGTGCTAATGGTGCAGAGGACTCGTCCTTTTGCACGAGCATGGGGATGTCGTTGTCGTCGGTGCCGGTGTCGAGTTCGTATCGCCATCGCTTTTTGGGTGTTGTTGAATCCTGCGTCGCCCTTGTTACTGTTCCTGTTCCTGGTCCTCCTGCTCCGTTCCCGCTGCTCCCACCCTTGGATGCGCCGCCCGGCGCGGGCAACTCTGGTATTACTCCTCCTCCTCCTCCTCCTCCTGGAACCGTCTGGGCGCGCGACCATTCCTGGCTGGTGCTGGCTTCAAAGAAACCCGAACACCTCGTCAAAATGTGTCGATGCAGTAGGTATCGGTTCTCGAGTCCGCAGGGGACGCGCACAACGATCTCGACATCGCCGCTATGGCTGAAAACGGGGAATTCGTTTTGCGGGATGAAGGAAGCGCCGCCGGCGTGGGAGCGGTTGTATCTTCGAGCTCGCGACGAGACGTACGGGGTTGACGAGCTAAAGTTGCTGTTGTTACTGCTGTGGTGACCGTGGCCGTGGCCGTGGTGGCTGTAGCTGTCTCGGTATGTCGCCCGCACGCCGGTGCCACCAGCGCCGCCCACGACCGAGGATGGTCCCCGCAACGCCAACATGGACACATCCCGGTCGCTGGCGCCGCCGCCCACCCCAAGTGAGCCAACACCAGGGCCGGGCCCGGGCCCGTATTGCGCAACCATGGAATGTTTGTTTTGTTGTCGAGTGTCGCAATACGTATGGAGCGGAGCGGAGTGTATCTGATGCGCTGTCCGAATGTGGCCTGACCCGGGCGATGGAGGGGAAGATGCCCTGGCGTCAGTTCAGTGGATGCGCGCCAGTTGGAAGCGCAACACTCCCGTCGTTGGGTTGTGAACCCCAGTTGCCCTTTGAGGTTTACTTGTTTCCTGAACTTGGATTCGGTTTCCTTTTGTTTCTCCAGCAACGAGGGAAAATTCAACTCTTCTTTTACCTTTTTCTTTTTCCTTTCTTTTTTTCCCTCAACCCTCTTTCTTGGCCTACACTGGGCTGGGCTGCCTCACTTTATTCCTTGTCGTCAATCGTCGCCGTCCCGCTTCACTTTCTTGGCTTGTGAGTGGTGAGTTCTCGAATTGGTCAGAACGATGAATGGATGGACAGCTGGCTGCCGGGCCGTCGCCTGCTGTGGGTGGTTGGGTTCTTAGCTGTTGAAGCTGTCTGAGGGGTCAAAGCTGCTGCGACTGGAAGCTGCGAGCGTCAGATGCATGCAGCAATGCAGGCCGGCAGGAAGGAGGCTGGTTTCTCTCTCTCTGTCGTAATCGCGGGCAGCTGGGTACCGCAGAGTGACACAGACTGTACAGTTCTGGTCCGCCGTCTGTCTGTCTGCACAGCTTTTGTTTTCGAGAATATATGTGGTCGTGTGTGTGGTTGTGTGTGTATGGGGTTGTACGCGTTGCGATGCGATACGATGCGTTTTGTGTTTCCTCTTTCTCTCTTGCTTCTTTTCGTCTCGCCACCGTCGTCGTCGTCGTTGTCGTCTCGTATTCCGCTTCACATAAAAGGGTAAAACAAAAACATGCAAATAAAGTGCAAGGGAAAGAAGGTCTAGAAAAAGAGCTGCAGGGACAAGATCAATGACGGGAAGGGAGAAGACAAGACCTGCAAGCAGAGGCAGAGTCTCAGACAGGATCAAGACCTAGAAACAGGAACCGGATCAGGTACAGTACCGCCCGGCGCACGACGTTGCATCCAGACCGAAATCGCCAATCTAGTGAGTGTTCAGGTGAATCGAGTAGATGAGCGCGGTGCTTTTTACAGACCTCAATCTCTCAAGAGGCGGTTCAACGACAAAGGGAAAGAAATCTCAAGGGACGGGCAGTTCAGATATTCCGTTTTTCTTGGTAGGCACCCCTGCGTTCAGTTCGTACACTAGAAAGAAAAAAACCTGAATAATAGAAGCTTCTTTCAGCCCGGTTACCCAACACCCGGCACCGGCACGGCCACAGAGACCACTAGTAAACAGCTGAACTTGTCAAATCTTGTGATCTCCGGTCGAGGCTGTGTCAGCTGTAGACTAGCTTGTCGTCGTGTGAGTCCTGTTGGTAGTCGAGGTCGTCGACGACGTTGGATGGCAATTAATGGCAATATCGCCACAGACAACCACAGGGGAAATACCACCCACTACCAAAGTTATTCGTAGCCCAAGTGGTGATGGTGGTGGTGTGTTGCTACAACACACTCTCGAGCCACTCAAAATGACCGGCGAGATTTCCACTGCTGCTGCTGCGAATGCGATTGACAGAAAGACCGCCGCGATAAGCTTGGTTTCTTGAGTCGCCAGGGGTTGGCCACATGCAATCAGAGTCGATGGAATGGTTCGAAGTGGTTCCAGGTCGTCGTGGTCGTTTTGTTGTCTTTGGTGTGAGTGGTCGGCAAGCGGATGACAACCTCAAACGATTGGCGAGGGTATAGGATAGAGGTACATCATAGGAATCGAAACTGCTGAAATGCATTCGAGATCAAGTACCAGGTATGCAAATCACATAGAAAAGAAAACCAATCTTCTATGATGATGCCATGAGGTTTGCTGTTGTTCCACTCAACCGGTTGGTCCTGAAAAGGTGGAGCTGTGGTTGATGCAAGTCTTCCTTTGTTCAAGAAACCTCGAAGCCAGACAAAGGATTCCATTCTGCCTATGCATGAACCTCTGTTTCGACTTGTTTTCTTTTTCTTTATTGTTGTTGACATCCAACACGAAAACAGTCAAGCTCTCGGCCAATACACAACGCCTGGAGGCAGGCAACCTGCAGCGCACCGCGCACCACACCGCGCATGGCGCATGGCAACCGACAATGTCGTGAGCATTGCCTCACCTCATGTTGCGACCTGGAGCCTTTTTTTTTCTTTTCTTTCTTTAGATCGAACTGGCCCGCATCGAGTCGCGTTTTCTTCAAGTAAAGGTATCTTCGAGCCCATCAAATTGGTTGTTTCCGTTCATGTCTCTTCATGTTGGCCTTACTGTCATTGGCTCAGCACAGCAGGAGCTACCTCTATATAACTGGCTTATATACAGCCTTGTTGACGTGGTACCCAGAAATTGGCTCTTTGATCTTCAAGCTCTCTCTAGGTACCTAGTTCTGGGGTTCTCTGATTTTTATCATCTGCCTATTCTTTGGATTTCTGGTCAATTAAAAGAAAGAGGAGAAACCCTCCGTTGATTTGCATAGCATGGCATAGCATAGCATAGCATAGCATAGCATGGGTAGTTAGGAGGTAGAAGTGATGATTCGTACACTACAACCCTACTATGTATGCACACCTAGGGAGGTGCCTGACTTGGAGTTGACTGCAACTTTGAATTGTTAGGTACCTCTGGTCTCGTCATCAATTTGTGCTGGCCCTGCAAGTAAAAGGTCTCGGCCCTCCAACAAACCCCTTTTCTCCTCTGTCAGTTATCACGACCAAATACCTCTGGGTGTTTCTCCTGACATTGAATGATGATGTCCTCGAAGAAAACGCGTGGTTACCCGCATCCCCTCGAGTCCAGTTTGTGGCTTACATACACGTCCCCATGCGTGCGTCCGATGCACAACTTTCGTCAGGTTTCTTTGAGACAAGTCCATTCATCCAGCTTTCTTGCTGCTTCCGGCCGAGAGGGGCATATAATAAAAATATGAGAACTGACACTTCTGAAGGGCTAGAGGGAGAGCCGTGAAAGAAGATGGAAGTAAGGGAGGGGGGGAAAGTCAGTCAGTCTGTTTGTTCTTTGTTCGGTGCACAGGAAGGTTGGCTGGTGTCACTGCATTGTTCCGTCCCGCGTTCGGGCAGCGTATGAAAGGTTGCGATAAGATAGGGTTTACACCATCGCAATATCAGGCTAACTTGAAGAGTCCGCATTTGAAGGAAATGCTGATAGTGCACTAACCGGCAAAGGATTTGATGAGAAACTATAGCGGGAGGTAGGCTCGTAGGGTTGTCCTCGACGACATGAAAATCGAAGCACATCCATCTCGTCCGTCGCATCTCATCAAGCTCCGGAGGCTGTCAATTGCTTCAGGTCGAAGCGAAGAATCACAGCTCATGGCGGGCTGAACCTCATCGCGCCGTGGTCGTCTTAGCATCCTTATCCGCCGAGCACACGCACTGCACAGACAGGAGAGGTGAGAGCAGAGGACACGCAAAGATCATCAGGTCCTTTAAAGGAGTCATTCATCGGTTTTACCACCACATTTTCATCGTTTACATTCACATCCTAGTACCTACCAAGCTTCAAATAGGGACCTACACTTGTCTTTCAATGACGCGAGAGGCCGGTCGAATGGCACTGCCCAGGGCAAGACCACTGACATCAACTGTGGATGCATCGCGCTCACAGAGACAGCGAGGGCAATTAAACTTCACTTGGCATGTTGAAGCTCTGATTGAAGAAGAACCTCGAGCCCCCAGTCTTGGGATCCGCTCGCTTGTCTTATCGTACTCACCGCCTGGACTTTTCCGCCAAATAATTTCTCTAGCTTTCACTTTGCATAAACAACCAAGAAACCAATCACGACGACCTTGCTTGTTTGCTTGCTTGATCATGACTTCATTTGTTTTAAACTTCTATTCTTACAGATACACTTTGCATTGGCGTTGACGTTCGCTTATGTCGCCCGCTCATCCCATTGAAACCCCCAGAAAGTACCCCGAATTTATCGCCGAATCGTTTGTCGGGAACCAGAAAAAGAGTTGAACCGGAGACACATGATTGAAAAAAAAATTACCTCGTAAACTGTTTGCGTAAATGATAAATAAAGCCATGGAAAGTCAGTTCTGAGAAAAGATAATGATCAAAAGATTCGCAGGAAAAATCGAATCGCTGGCAGAGTCGTTAAGCCACACACTGGCCATTCGTGGCCTCTTTTGTCGTTCGCCAATCAACGCCCGTAACGCATGTCGCCCAGTCCCCTTTAACGCCAACCAACCACAGAAGAACACCCCGAATTCGAAATTGAAAGAAGAACGCTTTGTTTGATGCGACGCTCTAGCTCATGTCCATCTCGCTGGCAACATCAAAGATGGATGGGCCAGCATTGGAGGGCCTGGTCGTTTCAGACGCATCCATGGTGACAGGGCCATCGAAAACAGGCGGTGTTCCCTTGAGATTTTGAAGCATGCCGTCGGCAGTCTTGCTGACAAGTCGCCCTTGACGAAGGTTCTCGGCGAATAAAAAGTACCCTTCGGTAGCCTCAACCAGGTACGCCTGCAGACCACGGCTTTCCAATAGGATCTTGGCATTGGTGACGGGGTAGTGGTTTTCAATGTAGCGCGCCCAACCACGAGCTGCGACTTGGATGTTCTCGCCGATTCGGGCCCACCCGATGCCGAGGTGGACGGTGAAGTCGTCAACGATTGGGCCGGCCAGCGAATCCGATGAGGCGGTCATTGGGTTGCTTGTGTCGCGCAAGGGGCTGCCGCCGCGACTGGTGGAACTGCTGTTGGAGGAGCGAACATCGAGCCGTTGCGATTTGTGGCTGCGCAAGGATGGTCTATCTTGGGACATTTGTTGCTGCAAGCTGAGAGCCTCTTCCGACTTGCGCGCTGTTTCGGCGGCAGCCTTCTCATCGACCCAGGTGCCGGATTGGCTGCTGGCATCTGCGACATATCCGCCTGTCTTTCTGATGAGAGTCATTCCAGGGCCGTAGACCCATTCGTCTTCCGACTCCTGGATGACGG